TGATTCAAGCTTTTCTTCTCACAAGTTTAAAGTTTGTCAATTAAACGAGTGAAAAAAATAGCTTTCAAAACGTGTTAGACGTCATTTTTCTTTAATAAAAAATGGTTTTAAAATTATTACATCTGTCAATTTAAAAAGTTATAGATAAATCGTGAAAAAACTCTCGTTACAGTTTTAAGTGAAAAAGTATTATTTTCACTACGTTTGATAGTTTAAGTATATATAATTAAATATATATATTTTTTACTAAATTTGGTGCAAAGAAATTTGAATTTATATATTAACAATTAATCTTGGAGTTTATTGCATTCTTTGCAGACAATTTTTTGCTCACTACAAATTAGTTCTGGATTATCTTTAATCTGTTCTGTTTTTTCATTCAGAACTTTTTTGAACGGTCACACTGTTAATAAGGCACTTGTAGATACGAAAGAATGAATAATTTATCTCGTTCCCTTTGCTAAGTACCTAAGTACATACCAATCTCCACTTTTACGCCATTTGTGTAAACAAGATCGTAAAAAGATTAGTTTTGACCATGGAGCAAAGAATATACTCATACTGGAGAAAGTGCCAGACTTAAAATGATGGTTTCGAGCCAAACCGGTAAAGTGTCATAAACAGTACCCATCATTACCCAGATAATACTGCCGATGACAGTGACGTACAGTTTTTCTTTTTTTTTTTTTGAAGCGGCTCATGGAATAAAAATAGTTGAATAAAACAACGCACATAACAGATTTATATTATCTATTAATTAATATTATTTAAAATATTTAAATCAATCAATACATCACGAGTAACAAGTAATACAAACAGTGAATACCGTTAAAAAGTAGAAACAACCAGGATGACGACGCCACTGAGTAGTGGTTATTCGCAATGGCGTAACTAATTTTTAACATGGGAAGTTTGTAAAGTTTATTGAGGGGCATTTCACTCGGAAGGCCGACTATTGATTCAGAATTATTTGCCTAATCTGCCGGATGTAGGTGGGCTTCTCTAACCCATGTTGTAAATTTTTGTAGGATGCAAAGTGCGGAGAAGAATAAAATTAGGTAGCAGCCCGTAGTAGGGTCATTCATGGAAAACTGCGAAAACACGTCACAGAAATATCTATCGTAAAAGGAATTTTTAGAAATAATTTTCTCGTCATTAATCGGTTGCAAAAGATCAAGAGGCACTCGAAGCAAGCCCTGACAAACTTATCAGCGGCGCCAGCGGAGATCTCCAACTGGCTGCGGTACCACCATGGACACTCGCGTAACCTCCTTTCCAGAATTGTCAAAATGACATTGCCAAACTCAAAGCAATCATGAATTAAGCATTTCATTTTAAATTCAGTTAGTATCAAGTGGTACATGGTATTCGTATTTTGGGTTGCGTAAAAATAATTTTCAGAAATAATTTTCTCGTGACTAACCCTGTATATGTATTTTTTACACCCACATATGGTACAACTGAATTTTTCTTCAGTACAATACTAGTTACATAATAATAATTAAAAAGTAAGTTTTTAGTTGCATAAGTACCTACATTTCTTAGATTTCCCGGTAACACAAAATTATTCTTGACGTTCTAACAAAAGTTTTTGCAATATATATTTACAATACACGTAAACCTTTCTCAAACCCTGTAAAAGATCCGTTGCAATTTAAAAGGGATTAAAATAAGTATTATATCCGTCCAGTGGAATTTACATTCGCTGCATATGGATACTCTAGATGCACTATTAGTTCATAAATTTTATTATTTGGTGATATGTATGTATAAAGACAAGAATAGACAATAGAGGCAATTCTGTACCAAAATGTGTTAAAATTTAAAGGTTGTTAAAAATATGATTTTTTAAATAATTGTAATCTAGTTAAGAACAATAAACACTTGTTTTTATATATGTTGAGTACTAATGAAGCTAGTTCCTATAATATAATAGGTAAAATAAGCAACGAGATAAATAGTAACAATCTCTTTAAAAAAATAACCAAAATGACAATTTATTAATAAAAAATCTTATGTAAAAAGGTGTTTACGCTCGTATTTTTAATTTTTAAAGTGCAACTACAAACTTCGTCACTTATCTATTTTCAAATTGTTTTTAATTCGATATTTACACCTTACCTGATTGCTAAATTTATTGCAACTTAAAATTCAGAATACAAAATATTTAGTTTTAATAAAAGAAAATACTTCCCGATGAATTTTATCTTGCGATCAATTGACGCTGCGATAAATTTACGTACGATCTATTGTCGCTGCGATCAATTTACGTGCGATCAATTGTCGCTGCGATCAATTGTCGCCGCGATCAATTGTCGCGTGCGACCAATTGTGCTGCGACGAGTTGCATGCGATCAATTGTCGCGCGATCAATTGTTTGCGACCAGTTGTCGTAGAATCCATCATCTGATGGGCTCAACGATGATGATTTGATGATAACAGTTGCAATCACAATAACGGCGCTCTTCACAGAATACAACCTACTAAACAAACACACGTGTACCATCGCCGATCAGATTTCTGATAACAAATGCAGAATGCAATGCCACGCCAAGCACATTTTGTGTTCATGGCCGGCAATTGCTGTTATCAGGAAGAAACTCATGGATTTCCAAATTCTATAGTTACATGATGATATTCAAAATGCGCCTATAAACTCTATCCTGAACACTATTAAAGGTAGAGAACTCTTTTAGGACTCGAAATTATGGGGGCTAGCACACAATGAATTAGAAGACCTCCATGTGCGCTTCTATGTATAAAAGGCCTCCTATCCCTCAAAAAAGCTCGTCTTCCCTATGGCAATAATCCCTCCAGATCGTCTTTTCAAATCGAAATTTGATCATTTATAATCTGTTATAATTATGAATATAACTGTTGACCTCCAAGAGCATAACAGGGTTTGCGCTCTGCCTATTATTCTTCATTAATAAAAATAATATCCATTTGACGAGTAGATAACTTTAGATTCTCTCCTAATTACAATATGAAAAAACAGATCTCCAGTTTCAATCTATTTGACTGCTATATACGTTTGCTATGTATGTTTATCGTTCATTGGCGGCTTTAATAGACAAATAATCTCAAAAAAATACTGGACTCGTTATTACGAAATTTTAGACTTTTTTAAGAAAATCGTGTAAATGGCAAAACACTAACGTCAACAAAAAAAATTCAAAATTTGAGCAGAGTAAATCAGAATTCATCTGTTCATCCCTTCCCAAAAACTTGACGACGTCATTTCGAGATTTTATTAAAAGTAAACTTTGCTTAAGGGTTATAACTTGAGATAGGTACCCTTTTATTTGTGGTCTAACAATGTATCCATATGTTTTTTATACTTATACAGGTTACTAAAAAAAATGTTTAAAAACAAATTTTACAGTTTGACTTAGCATCTACGAAACGAATTATTTTGAAATTTACTAGCCCTAATTTAATGACTAGAGAGTCACGTTTCAAAAAGTTAAAAAATGTTTTTAAAAATTATCTGTTATTAAAAGTTGTTCGAGATGCGAGGTTGTAGCCCTTTTAATATAATTAATATATAATAATAGATTTTAATTGCTACAAAATTGTTATACGAATGTATAAAACAAATTATCCAACAAATCAATTAAATGTATTGATTAAAAAAATGGCTTATCAAATTTTCCAAAAGTTTTAGGAACAATACTACTTTTTATTTTAACATGATAAGAAACATTAAGAAAAAGACTAAATTTGTTGAGTCAATTTTTAAAATCTATCTAAAAAACGGGGTTTTGTTCATTGTTTGTGCTTTAGAAGTAAGAGAAGTTCTTTCCAAATAACAGGAAACTGTTTTCTTTTTCAAATAAGTCTTTCATAGTTTTGCATGGTATAGGAACATTGTGTAAAAACTTTTATAATTCACAAAACTATCTTATGAACCGGCTTCATCTTGCAGCTTCTTCAAAATCTGCAAAAACATTATGATTCTGTGTGCATATATCAATCTAGAGATAAAGTTCCTTACATTCATAAAATATCTACAATATTTTTATTCTCCGTTTATTTATTACACATTCTCTATTTATTAGTGTTTTTTTTTTGAGGACTCGCTATACTGGGTGATTTTTTGCATTCTGCTTTAGCTACCCATGACGCTTACGTCAGCAGTGAAATTAAAACTGTTAACGTAAACATCATGGGTAACTAGAACAGAAATTTGAAAAGTCACTCTATATTTTCCATCAATGAGCTACGATATGATTAAAACGTTAATGTTAAATGTAAAGATGAATTAAAAGTAAAATTACTACCATTAAATAACAACAGGAACTAAATTACATGAAACAAACTTCAAATGCTATTACAATATTACAATTAAAAAGTTATTATTTCTAAAATAAATATTGAGTTTTATGATTTTAAAATTTCAATTGTATATTTACTTTTCCGAATATTTTTGTAACTTGCCAATATGTAAGTCCGATTCTGTAATGTCTATTGATCTTGTTAGTGTGGGTTTGTTGCCTGGTCATTCATTATTGCTTAATATTTACCTGCTCTAATGAAGTTATTACTCTGCAATGAAAAACCTAATTTTTGACAACATATTAGCCGATTTGTTCTCTTTGATAGTTACCGAGTCACTTCTTTCCTCGCTTTAATTTTTAAGAATTTTCTGAATACCAATTTCCTTTTTATGCTATCAATCCGTTTTCGCTTTGAACTTGTGACTTGGCTCATTTGTCCCATTTTATTATATCTTGTAGCCATCAAAATGTATTTCGCCGTTTCCCCTCTTTCGGTTTCTTTGCTTTAATATTGTTTCAAAAGCATTTATCCAAGGGGAATTACAAAACGTTTTTTTATATTAGGCAATATACAAACGGTTAAAGATATTAATATTTGTTCTCGTCGGAATTTAAATCAATATTGGATTATTCGTCCGCGGTTTCTTTTACTTTTCTTATTAAAGCGGTCTTTAAATTGGCTGCAGTATCGATAAAACAGGTTGCCAAGAAAGCGCGTCTATCAACAATGTCAGTTTTAGTTTTGTGCTAACATAGTTTACATCAAAAATGAGCTCAGAATCAGTGTGTGGTAAGCAGAAAAAGAAAAAATGTCCCAACACTATCCGTCACAACATATACGAACGCAACGCGCCAGAAATAAAAAACTGGTGGTATAGTTTGTTTGATATGATGGAATCTGAAGCGGCCATCGTGAGTTTGAAAGTGAAGTTTCAAAAACATCGGCGTTTACTGCCCCTTTTTAGCCGCCCGATAGGCGCCTCGACGTCGTAAACGATATATTGCCGGAGAAACTTCTCAACAGGATTCTCTCCATACTGAGCTTCATAAGAACTTGCAAAAAGCTGACGTCTGATGATGAACTCACTGTGAAAGAATCGGACGACCGAAAGACATCCGCCTCATTGTTGGGGTCGGTGTCGGACGAAGGCGTTGAACGGTAATAAGCACCTTTCAAAAAGCTTCGTAGTTTTTTTTAGGAGGAACGTAATATCTTACCTACATCGGTATTCTACTCTATCACAGTATGGTCACAATAATACGGACTGTTATTTTTTTACCGGTTTGAGGCTGTAAAAAGTCCTTGATATGCGCAAAAGTTGGCTTGTATTGCACGTCCTAACCATAACAAAATCAAATGATACAAATAAAGAACAAATTTAATTCTGCTTTCCATACTAATAATTTATGTTCACTGCATAATTAGAACCTTCTACAAAATGAACTTCACGTATTTCTAGTGTTTCCGTGTCCACGGTAATTTCAATATGAGTTGTGGCATTTTCTGACGTAGAGGATTTCCAACCAATCATTTTCTTTGCAACATTGATTTTATGTTGCATGAATTCTTCCACATAACATTCAGCGACAATAGAACTCCTCCCACTACCAAATCAGAAACCTTTCCACCCCTATTAGTTAGAACGGTTATAGAATTGCATTTGAAGAAGTAACCGGTGCCAGTTTAATGGCCGAAAGTCCCAAGAACGTTGTAATTAGTTTTGGGCCTGAAGAAATATTGCGAATTCTCATCTTCCGAATGTACTACGGTTGTAGAACACAAAAAAGTATTATGTTTACCATGATGATCAAACAAATTTAAATTACCATCCACACCATATTCCTAACATACGTTCGAAATTTGATGACTGTCAAATGACAGGCGACAGACAAACAGAAACGGGAGACCTATTTTTACTATCCGAGCATAAGCGAAGAAAGTATTGCAATCGAGTTCATCGGCCGACTCTCTACTTTTACATTTTCTCGACCTTTCAAATGGGAGACCTACTTGTTTGCACTATGGGGACCATTTCCGTGTGTCTGTCTGTCTGTCTGTCCGTCCGTCCGTCTGTCTTATTAATTACTTTAAATTGTATTTAATTAAGATAATTAGAACAGTAATGCTTTATAGCTACTGGCTACTGTGCCGAAAATTTATTCACTCGTTTTATTATTTATGAAACACAAACGTAATTTAGAGCACACATATTCAGAGTTAAAATGTACAAACACTAACACTCAACATTATCGTTGACTAATGCATATCGCTTGTTTTTAAAAATATTCACACTATTGCTAAACACTGACGCAATGAATGGAATGAATGATGGTGTTACGTTCTACAAATATCGGCAGTGCAGTTTTCGACATCTTTATTTTCCGCAAGAATAACTTAATTCAACTGCAAATACACAATCAGAGTCTAGTGCATCAAGAACCCAGTCAGTATCTTGTTTTGTCGAGGTTGTTTAGCCCGATTTAAATTTAAGTGCACATGACTGGAAATCCACCCCTAAATGTCTCTACATTTTTATTATAACCAACAAAAGTATGTATTCAGAATGAATTTATTAATGTCATAAGTGTCAGAAGACTTGTCTATTACAAACACTATTCATAGGTATGGATTTAACTATATTCACATGAATAATGATAAATCCAGGTTACCAGCGTCCGTTCATTTCCTTGTCAAGTCCATCAAGCATCTTAAATAACATGTGGTTGACCAAAGAGCTTCCGCAAGCTTTTGAAATCTAGTTCACAAACGAGTCTCGAGCTGAATTTAAGTTACTGGACGCTAAGATCACTGCACCACACTCAAAAGGAGAACTTACATTCGTAGATCTTTAATTACGGTGGGTGGCATACATTTTCCGACGCCAAACATATTTGCATGTATTTCCAGAGGAAGCCGAACTTATGATAGAAATGTTCGATAATGCTTCGTTGCACTAGTAGATTAGTAATAATAATATTGACAATTTAGAAAGATATATTTATAACAGGGAATTGAAAAAAGTACAAAAGTAAGGATACCTACGTAGGTATATGAAATAATAACTAAAGATATCAATGAAGTTTTACATATTATGATCGCAGCAATTTGATTACTGGCGAAATTAAAAAGAGAGTGAACATGTGCCTTGAAGAAAATAGTGAACATTTTAACCACAGTAAATGTATTTCTTTTTATTGTAAAGATTCAGTATTTAGTTTTATTTTTTAATAAGATTTGAAGCATTCAGGCAACCAGTTATACAGATGCGTGTGGTATTTTTCATGACTCCATTGGCAATTAGTAAAAGTCGTTATAAAATGATAGGCGGCACGCTTCTAAGACCCTGTGCAAATGATATATACCACAACCTACATCAGTATTTATTACAGATATAGAATTTTTAATCTAGAAAATGTCATTAATGTGAGAAATATGACAGAACTAGTCAACTACAAAATAATACTATTCACAAGTGTAGATTGTGAATAGTATTAGTTCATGTGACCAGTTACGTCAGTTTGTCAGTTCTGACTGACGATAATCTTACTAAAATTAAAAAAAAAAACTATTAACAAAAGGGCGACTTTGTATCGTATTACAATCAACTCTTTCATAAATTTGGCGATTTTTAACTGATATTGATAAAGTAAAATATTTTTATATCGATAAAATATTCATCGAACTCCTAATGATGTTGTAGATTGATTCTATAACTAGCTGTTACAAAGTCGCTTTATAATTTTCTCCATCAACAAAACGTTCTAGTAATGCATCGAGAATTTCTATTTCGACTCGTTTTGCATCACCCGTCAATACCTGTTACTCTCTAACTGAACACAGTTTAATGCTGGAATATAATTCAAGATGGATTCATAAATCACACATGCAGGAGTGTACTATTTTATAAAATTTAAATAACATTTATTCGGGAAAATTGTAATATGACGTCATCAATTTTTAGAGGAGGCCTAAACTGATAAATTTTGATTAACGATTTACCATGCTTCTGATAACCTTAAACCGTTTGCAAGATTTCAAAGCATTATAAAAAACACGTATTCATAAACTACAAGTGTAGGAGCACGTTATTTTATAAAATTAACGATCAGAGGAATTTTGGTCCGCGTTTTACCATCTACACAATATTCCTAATATACACACAAAATTTGACAATAATCAGTCCGGCAGTTTCGGATATTATCTGTTGAATAAAAATCGATATAGACGTGGACAGACGACAGACGACAACGGCAGATTGCAGACAGTTATACGGAAACGAGATACCTATTTTGTCGTCCCCTAGGTATCATAAAATGTCGAGAAAACATGAAAATAACCAGTCAACCGTTGGACTCGATTGCAATACTTCCTTAAGCTTATGCGCGGTAAGTAAAAAATTAATATGAGTTCGTGTCCGTGTATTAATATCACTTTATATACCCACTATACTCATCACGTTATTTCTGCATCCACTTAAATTTTATGACTCGATTATGACAAGGTGGATAGCACTGCAGTAAGATTAGTGACGATTCTAAAATGACCTTTGGTGGCCAGTCTTTGGTGAAAATAATACAGAGGATATTGCATAATGTAGCGGACTAAGGACTCTATAAAAAAAAGCAACGAAGGATTTACAAACCAGCAAAAAATAAAATATAAACTTACTACAAGATATAATATAGGTAAATAAATAATACCTACATCAAAGTAAGACAGTAATGATCCAATCAGTGCCACTGTTAAAAAAAAGGGTCTAGACCGGTAAATAGTACTTATAGTTACCCCGGTATAACATTTACAATAGATTAAAACTACAAAAATAAGAAGGTAATCTCAGGATTTAGAACATATATTATTATATTATTCCTTCGACTGCACAGACTTTTTTTTAAGTTATGCTCCAAGCCAAATTCTAACAATAGCTTTTTTTGCTGCAGAGGAAATATTAACGTTTTTCGATTTAAAAAACCAATAATATGAGAATTTGTCGTTACAACGTTTGCAATTTTTTTGTGATAGTCACGAATGTATAACGAGCCACAGTTTGTTAGGGGGCAAATTTGGAAAATCTTATTTTCACTTCTAGATACATTCAGATGGCAGTGGTGTAAATAAAAAAATATTTGCCATACCGTAAAATTCTTGATGCTAAAGCTCAATCCCTCTTGATATGTTTGTCTACGATATTTCCCTTTTGACCGCATTCTACTGTTATAAACGAAGCTGTAACTGTAAATAAAACCGCGTACGTGTGTTGTTGAAAACTGCACAAGTAGCATCGAATAGCATCTGCAGCCAAAACTTAATATTTACACCAAGAATTGCAGATAAATTACGACAGAAACACAAGTAACTGCAATTATACTAAGCAAATAAAATTTATAGCCAAACCAAATATTAAACAAAATAATGTTACTCTTACGTTACGTTAAAGTTAAAATAAATTTTTACAAAAAAAAAGTAAACTACGAATAAATACTTATAGGTACATAAATAAGTTACGTTCACACGTCAAATCAGCAAAATTGTCAGTACGCGTATATTTAAAATTTAAAAACCCGCGTTCAAAGGACGCACGACGTTTTGGTAAGCCATTTGAAAACGAAAAACAAAAAAAAAAACGGTAGAACAGCTTCGTACTTTACGACGGCCTTGTCTACATTTAAAAAAAAATCATAAAAAGTTCAACAGCGCTCCGACAACCCAAGAGTTCGTGCTAAGAGAAAATATTTCTCGCACGTGTCTTCATTCAATTGCATAAATTAACTGTTACTAAAGTTATTAAAAAGTAACGAAACACTCAACATAGTAGAAGAATTAATCTGTTTTCGCATTATATTGAATTTTTCGCTGATACATTTGTGTAAAGTAAAATGTTTCCAATAGCGATAAAGAAACAGTGCTAACTAACGGCTTTAATTTTTTTTTTACTTCTCGGGCGTAGGCTAAGGAAGTATTGTAAACGAGTCCATCGGGCGACTGATTACTTTCATATTTTCTCGATGCATTATGACCATGAGTTATGACACCAATACTACGAAAACGTGTCTGCCTGCCGTCTGTCCGGATTTTTATTAGACAATTAATTTCCGAAGCTACTGGACCGATTGCTGTTAAATTTTATATGTATATTAGGAATATATCAAATAGATGGTAAAACGCTGACCAATTTTTTTTATTTAAGTAGGATTTAAATTTTATAAAATAACATACTCCTGTACTTGTTCTTCATAAATCCGTTTTTAGATTTTCCCCAAGGCATCCAAATTTTCGCAAAAAAATCGAAATTGTACGGCAAGCTTTTTATATTAATACAGGGTTAGTCACGAGAGAATTACTTCGGAAAATTCTTTTAACGCAACCCAAAATACTAATACCCTGTACCACTTGATATTATGGAAATTTAAAATGAAATGCCTAATCCATGATTGCTTTGACTTTGGCAGTGTCACTTTGACGTTAATTAATTTTTAACATTTTTTTTCATCGTTGACTCGCCTCTAGAGCCCCATTTGATCGATGACATATAGTCAGATCAATCTGGGCTATACTGAAGCAGTAAGTGCTCTACCAATGTTGTTCGCCGCTAATGTGCATGTGTTAATTCGCCATATCTGCGTCACCTAGAGCCTCTTCGAAGTGCAAATCTGCAACCTCTGGACTTCTTCGGCCATCCATTTACAAAAAAGCCGTAGCATTCCCCCAAAATGCCAACATTTTCAACAGATTAGTAGTTAAATTATTTACTTACTTGTTTGAGTTTGTGTTGTAACCTTTGAATAAAATTCCGTAAAAGGAATTTTTAGAAATAATTTTCTCGTGATTAATCGGTTGCAAAAGATCAAGAGGCACAATGAAAAATTTATTAGCGGCGCCGGAGGAGATTTCCGACTGGCTGCGGTACCACCATGGACACTCGCGTAACCTCTTTTTCCACAATTGTCAAAATGAGATTGCCAAACTCAAAGCAATCATGGATTAAGCATTTCATTTTAAATTCAGTTAGTATCAAATGGTACATGGTATTCGTATTTTGGGTTGCGTAAAAATAATTTTCAGAAGTAATTCTCTCGTGACTAACCCTGTATATGCGAAGTTCGTATAAGGTTATTCTTAGGTTAGACACTAGCAGTGTTCTCGTTCCTAGGCGAAAAATGCGTGGATTCGAATGTTGCATGTGGTTTTCGTTTTTTGCAGTGTTATTGCTAATATATATGTATTATATTTTTTTATTGATCAAATCTCCAGAACGATACACCCCAGTGTTTTATTATTAGTACTACTCTACATGTGTCAGAACTGACATACATGTCCTTTCTGAAATAATGTTGATGGATTTTTTTTTTAAATAGAAAAATTCACCAATACATACAAGGATAACCTTGTTCTTTATCAATACATTAATATTTTTGGAGCAATTTTAATCTAGTTCCTATCATGATTTGACAATAAGAACACTCCAGAGTTCTAGAGAAGCGTATTTTCGTAACATAATATGTTGGAATGGTAGACAGGGGCGGGATATGGGTGACTAAAATACGACACATTAATGATTTCAGAAAAACAGGCTCTACAAGAATTTCTAAAAAAACATATAACGTACCGTTAAAAAATAAGTGGAATGTGGTAGAAACCAAAACTAAATTATAATATGTCAAAACAAATTTATAGGATGTCATTCACCTTCTTATACGGTTTCTGATATTACTTATTTATATTTATTTTAAAATATACTCAAAATCTTTTTTTTTTTTAATTTTCCAAATAAGCGGGATTTGTTGGACTGTACTTCCGGGGCGAGAGAAGTCCTGTCGAAATAACCTTCGACGAATTTTTACTTCCCGAGCATAAGCTAAGGAAGTATTGTGATCGAATACATAGGCCCACATCCTAATTTTATGTTTTCTCTACCTTTCATGGCCCATAAAATACGAAGAAATAGGTTTTCCGTTTCCGTCCGTCTGTCTATCTGTCTGTCTGTCTGTATGTGGGTTTGTCGTCTGTCGATATTTTTATTAAGGACGCAGATAATCTCCGAAACTACTATACCGATTGTTGTCAAATTTTGTAAGCACATTGAAGGATATCATGTAGATAGTAAAACCCTAGCCAAAATTTAGCTAATCATCCCTAATACTAATGGGATGACGTCATTTCCAAAATTTGCAAACATATTTTTTTTAATTTTATAAAATAAGACAGTCCTGTACTTTGTTATATAAATCAGTGTCAAGTATTCACCCCAGACATCCAGATTTTTGAAAAAAAAAAATAAAAATTTTATAACAATATTTTTAAATTCAACTTAAACATCGAATGCTCCGAAATCTTGCAAACATTTTAAGGTTATCGGAGATGACGTCACTTCAAAACTTTGCCGAATAACACCTCTCTGAAATATGCAAAATATTATGACTCTATACCTACTTGTGATTTATCAACGCACTCATAGTTTTTAGAATAACTTATACAGGTGACAAAAAATTTAATCGATGAGTGAATTTATTTTGTTGATTGACTCCGGAACGGCTCACTCCATTTTCCCGAAAATTTGGGAATACAATACTATTATTATTAGTGCTACACTGCACCTATCCACATTAATATACGTGTACTTGCAAACATGTTGATGACGTCATCACAAAATTTTGTGAAGGAAAAACTCATTTGAAACATACACGTAGCATGCATCTATACATTTAGTTTGACATACATACTTTATTTATTTTAACTTATAGGGGTTTCCTTAAAAAAAACAAATTTTACAATTTTTAGAAAAAACTAAGTATTTTGACGCATTACGTCCCTGATTCTTAAACGAAAACCTGCAAGGTATTAAGCACTGTGATTAAGTACTACGTATTTTAACCTATCGGGCTTCTAAAGAAATTCAATTTCCAAATTGCCATTAACAGCGTTTCTTAGAAAGATTAAAGAAGTAATCTTAAAATTTATGAAAATGATTTAATTTAGTGCTGGGATTTTCATCATAATCAGATACTAGATCTTATATAAACAGATAGAATTAGTCAGCAAGATAAGCATGGAATACCAAATTAAAACAGAAATATTTATCTACTTATCCGATCAAGAAACCTTTTTTGAGAATTTTTAGTTTGCTTCTCACAGTTTAAATTTAAAATTTTGGAGATTTCAAATACACAATTCACACTCTTCTTAAAAATAAGAAAAAAATATCAAGGTATTTTCATGTGTTTTTCATTACAAATTGGCTTTTTTCAGAGATGAACATTTGGAATTACCACATTAAAAATAAATGAGATTTAAATTTAATAATCGGAGTGATTGATGTTGAAACTGATGAGTTTTCTCATGTTTTTTAAATGGGACATCCTCTACGTTATAACTTTCTCGAACTAGGCTCTAATAAGTCAGTTTCCTTCTGATGCCAGCTTTGTTTTACTTTATTCTAACAATAACTCAGAATAACTTCACTTTTTTATATATTTGTCAAGACAACGTAACTAAAAAGTTTTGTGTAAACTTCCTTAAAATCCATTTTTAAACAGGGCGAAATGGAGTTTTTTTAAAAATATATCCTTTTTTTACACACAATTGTATCTCATATAATTTTCCTTAAAAAATATATTGGGTGTTAGGTTTACTAAAATGCAACTATAAATACTTTTTACATGAAGCACCAATATGTTTTATCACAGTGCTTGAAAGAATTTTATCAATAATTGACAAGAATGATTCGTAATCTTTCAACGGTGGACAGTTGAGATACTCTATATAATACCTACATTTCGAACTTTTTTTATTACGTTTAAAATAAGTCCTCTTAGTTGTGTTTTCACCTGATTTTATTTTACCGTGTTATGAAAACACGGTCAGAGATATTTGTCCTTTTAACTGGCATCTTGTCGTTTACTTTTCGTCACAAATTGTTCATAAACTCCCACTAGTTGCATACAGTACGTTTTTTTTTTAATATTTGTGCAAAACTAATTCCTTCTTCTAAAGTTCAAGACGAGAAATCGGCAAAAACAATCCCTACAAGAAATTCTTGAGCCGTCGTCCTGATAGGGCAGCCATCTGGCACACTTTACCACCCTTATCGTTCGAAGAAATGAATTTAAGTCAAAAAGCGAAAGCGATAACAACAGCGGTAAAGAAATTCTTATTAACTCAGTCGTACTTGAAATAATTACTTTCTTGCTATAATTAAAGATAGCAGTCAATTTTGTCGAGTGGATGCAAAGCATAAGCGACGAGGATTCCCCCACGTCCTTGACCGTGCCCTTAGTCCTGAAAATGTTCGAAATAGGATTCGACACGCACGCGGCGCGCTCGCTTCAAGTCAGAGTCAAAGAGATGGCGTCAGTGCCGGACGGCGTCGCCATTTTGAAAGGAATGCCTGACGTAAGTTATTCTGTTCATTGCGCTGCCATCTACCGATCAATACTCTCAACTTACAGATGGCTAAGCGCAGTCAACTACACCGGCAACTGTTGCGAGACTTGAAAGCTTCGAAGGAGACGAAGAGAGTTTTCGCTTTCGGAACGAAACTGGACAAGAAGTATCAAATTTTGCCTCCAAAGATGGCAGACATCGACAAGTGGCTGGTGTGCACCAGAGTTCCACAACAATTGGAGTCGATGGCTACGGTCTGGCGGGGAATTACTCATTTAAGATCGACCAGAGCTTACTGCGAGTATTTACTGGAACATCCTGAAATAACGCCACCTAAATATTTGGTGGACTCGCATATGTTAGATCGTGAAACATTAAAGGGTCAGCCGATGCATGGTCCTGATGTTGACCCCGAAGAAATGTCAGTAATACCGACACATGCAAGTACAGAAGACAAGAAACCGGAAAGTCAGATTTCATTACCACATTAAATTTACCAGAAACTATGAGACTGATCGATCAGAATTTCTTTGGTTCAGAACTAAATCTGTCGCAGAAAATTGTGTAAATGATAGCCTTTCTTACAAATAAATTCCATAAATAATAATTTATTCTTCAAATCTTCCTGTGGCTAAAATTTTTATAGCTTAACTATCCACGGAATTGAAAGTTTTTACACTGTTTTAAAAAACATAACCAACATTGAACAAGTTGTCATAGAAAATAAATTTATTTGTGGATTATTGTTAATTTGTTTTAGAACTTCGTGGTGCAAAATTCTTATAGAATCTGACACACCCGAAAGGTGAATTGGAATTATGTTTGCGTTCCAAATGAATACATCTTTCTCTTTGGTACTTTAAATATTTTACTTTGGTAGAAAAGATGATTTTGAACTTTAATTTTTCTGTCATGGCTTGAAAATTTTAAGAATATTCATTGGTTCATAATGTTGAATTTTGTATCGTAAAACAGTTGCATAAACTACCCCAAAACTTACTACTGTAAGATAAAAATTATAAAAGTTTTTACTAAAATTATATTCTTAATATTTTTGTGCTAAAATTTAAGAAATCAGTTGAAAATCTATATAGAACAAATACGAACCAAGAATGATACAAATGGAACAATTTAAAAAATACTAAGTATAATTTAAATATTATCAAAAAAATAGTTAGTTTTATGTATTAAAAGCAAAAAGGGGATGACTAGCGAGCATAAAAATCTTAAAATCCATAAAAATGTTATATGGCACAAATTAGCACTGGGCCAACGAAACATAAAAATGAAAATTAAACGTTTTTAACCTGTAATACATATTTTAATTTTCGCTTTGTATGATCAATACGTATTTTAGGATTAACTTTATTTTCACTTCCGAATCGGTCATACCAACGATACGGCATAGGTAATGGCCTCCTACAACTCAAAAACTTGTTCCATGGCACGACGTTTTCTGGGAAATCTTGTTAATGAAGCACCTATAAGAACTAATACCAAGACATTTTTCATATCGTAATACAAACATATTCATAAGTAACCAGCATGACGAATACCGTGAACTAAAGTGAAATACACAAACTAGTAATATTAAGTTTTATATTTAGTTTTCTATTCCATTGTACGATGTATAACTGTAATCATACAGAAACCCACAAATTTGTATTTATTTAACTCATGCGGTTCAACTCCACAATCAATGCAATTAGTCTTCTTTGATTTAATAATCATGTTAATAAACACCATACTAAAATTTTAATATGCAATTTAAAAACATCAAATTACCATAATATTCCGAAAATATCCATATTTCTATCACTTACTCTGTTATTTTTATAATTATTACTAGCTGACCCGGCCACGCGTTGCTGTGGCTAAAGTTTTTGTTATATTACATTATAGTAAACAATCTAAGAGGAACAATAAGAGAACATCAGTCACGGAGTCCACTATGCTTTTTCAGACAGATGGTATTTGTAAAAAAATATGGTGATCTCCTTATTTGACTTTCTACTACTATAACCCTTTAGTACAATGAAATTATTTACGAACAAAGACGAAAATGTTGATGTTGGTATACAAATTCACTGGATTGAGATTTGAAGGGGAAGTACGTTGAACACAATTAATTAAAATGTTCTTACACTTGATATTGCTGAGCTCTTTCAACACGTTTGCGTCGTGACCCTTTGCTGCTCGCGTTGTTGAGGTTAGATTTTTTCGGTGGCATTTGACTGAAAATAATAATTTAATCGTTTAAATATTAGAAAGAGGAACTGAAAAACATGTTATCATAGCACATTGAAATAATAAGTGCAAAATAATTTTCAATGGAGGTTAAATAAAAATAATATAAAAATTTGAATATGAACGGTGTAGATCCGAAATCGTACTGACAGTGTTGTCTCGCCGTGTAATTTTTATAGATCTTTTGTCAACTGGATCACCAACCATGATAACAACAACCTCATCAACAGTTGGAGCGTTGAATCTACCAGCATGTTCAACTAATGGTACTTTGTCGGCTTTTATGACAATTTGATAATTGTCATTTTGCAGTCGTGGCGAAACTCTTTTGATCAATTGAATTAGTTGATTGTGATCTTCTAAAAAATTTTCCAATAATATCACAATTGCTCTTTCCTCTGCTTGTTCAATAAAATTATACAGGCACCGAGTCGTCACGCGCTCTTCACAATCGCCCATAAAATAAATTTGAAGAAATTTCGGATTGTTATCAGGCATTGGCATCAGTGATCCGATTTTATGGTACACCTGGCCTTGAATTTTGAATGTAGTTTCAAAATTACGTCCATCGGATGCACGATCGCAAATTTTAGTTGCCCCAAATGACGTCATTTGGAAGCAAGAATTAAATTTGCGTATCTTACGCAAAAATAATTTGGAATCATCTGAATTGCCAGTAAGAAGGGATAATAAAGGCTCCGGCGGAGCGGGTAGAGGTGACAGCACAACTTTTCCTGATGCGCAGCACATGCCGGCTGCTTCATTCCGAAATTTCAATGCCTGACAATATTGACATACTTTATCCATTCCACCGATAGCAATTTTTGAATGCGCTGAGTAGTTAATATCTGGTGCATATTCAAAGGCAAGCCGAACGAATGATGCACGTGTTAATGAGCGGCTGATCCGTTGCCTTTGTCGATCTAGTACTCGTACTGTAGCTATGTTTCGTTCTCGTGCCGCTCTTGTTCTCGTAATATTCTGTTGCCGACGTTCGTCACGCTGTTCTTGAGATTCTTGTGCACGACTTTCTGCAGTCCTGATTCTTTCAGCTGCATTTCTTGTTTCGATTTGTTCTGGTAATTGCTGAGCTCTTTCAACACGTTTGCGTCGTGACCCTTTGCTGCTCGCGTTGTTGAGGTTAGATTTTTTCGGTGGCATTTGACTGACAATAATAATTTAATTTTTTAAATATTAGAAACCCAGTCGAAAGGTATCGACATCTGTTAGAATCATTTGGAGTTAACAAATAATTGTGACTGTCAAATAATAGCAGACAAATAATTAGCAATAAATTAAAATTGCGACTATAATTTGAGATTTAAACTATCCTATCTCTCAAGTTGGATCGAACTGCACATGGTGTGCTAATTTTATTATAATCGGTTAAGTGGTTTAGGAGTCCATTGAGGACCAACATTGTGACACGAGATTTATATATATTAAGATTTTTAGAAAAAGTATACTCCTATATTACAAGCATTCTTCAAGGAAAATTTGTGAGTTTTAAAACCTGTCAAAATTAATTCCTCTAATTCAGAAGAAATATTCGTAATTATGTTTAATAAAAAAATATGCTTTGTATTGTACTGTGTTTATGAATCTTTTCTCAGAGCTCGACGCCGTATCTCACAAGAGATTTATTGAAATGTGCACGATTTTCCCGAAATTCATTATTTGTAAACAAAAATACAATCAATGCAGGAAGTTAACATTTTTACTTCCTGAACGAAAGCGAAGGAAGCATTGTAATCGAGTTCATCGGACGAATGGCCACTTTTGTGTTTTCTCCACGTTTCATGACCCTACAGTACGAAAAAACCAGTCACCGTTATCTACCATTTGTTTGTCTGTCTGTCTGATGTCTGTATCCATTTTTATTAGATACCTAATCTCCGAAACTGCTGGACCCATTGTTGTCAAATTTTGATGACGATTAAGTGCTAACCAAAATTTGGCTGATCATCCCCACTACCAATTTGATGACGTCATTTCAATTAATGGTATTTTAAAATTATTTGAATGTTACACAAAAATATACTCATATACTTGTAGTCCAGGAATCCGCTTTCGGTTTTTTCGCTAAACGTTCAAATTTTCGCAAAAACATTTGCAAGATATAATAACGTTTTACTCCCAACATGAGTTGTACATGTCCGTGGAGCAGTGGGTGTATCGAAGAGAACGGCGGGCTGCGGTACTGCGATTGTGGGTTCGATGCCGAACTTGGCCCTTTCGTTGTTTTTGTTGCATTGGTATAACACTGTGATTACTTTTCTTTTGTGCTGTGACTAGAATTATCCATGTTGATGATGTCATCACAAGTTTTATTGGTCAAATTAAAAACGAGTCACCCCATTTTCCCGAAAATGTGAAGAATACACACGTGTTTATATACCTAATATTGATAAAATAAAAATTGTAATATTCGGAACATGTTGTTCGATTGTGGTTTAATTAATAAATATCTGGTTGACCGAGCTTCACTCGGCTCGTTTGGTAGTATTAGATCAGATTAGGATAGATAAATATGCGTATAGTATGCATTTTGAAGTAGACGCTCTAATTAAAAATACACATTAAAAAAGAAATTCCATAAGCAGTCTGTGTTTTATATACTGATGAGTGACATGTAGAGATTAAAGAATAGAAAACTGGAATTATTGTTTGACATTTATTAAAATTTCATTTGCTACCCAACTTCTCTCTCTGTCGTTCTTTTTTTTCCTAGTGTTCTCTCTCGAGTCTAGAAAAAGGTCACAGCCACATTCTTACTGCCAGAAGAGTTTCGCCTCTGGTGTGGTTAACATACTGAGTTACCGTGCTCTTTTGTGTTATCCCTAATTTTTCAATCTCAACTCTGCTCCCGAAGTTGCCACTTACGAAAGTGTGCGAAACATTGAGCCCAAAAACTCAAATAACACGGTCCCAACCCGGAAAACGATCACATATTGACTCCGACCGTGGAACCTCTGAAATGAATGCTTGACAACATAACGTCAATTCAACGCACTTTCGTGTGCCTTTTATCCGCTCACTGTTTAGTTTTCCGTAAATTTTCTCACCTCAGAACGTGAATTTTAACGGCCTCTATACAGTTGAGTATGTTTCGGTACGTACAATTGAAGATAAAAAGGTACGTCAAACGTACTGTCAGACTGTCACCCAAATTTCTCTTATAAAACAATCTCGTGTTCGTGTAGTGTCATCTGATGTTGCCTAACAACAAATATAATTCACAACCTGAAAATTGCTGAAAATCTATGAAGCTGTAATTTTCAGAAGTTAAAACTATGATCAATCGATTTCTTGACCCAAAAAACCCCCAACCTGTAAATTTCATCAAAATCGTTAGAGCCGTTTTCGAGAACCCATTATATATATATACAAACTTTGCTCGTTTAATAGTATAATAAGATAATTTTAGTTCTGTGTTTTGAGAAGACAAACTCATTCAAATCAATAAACGCTTGAGCTTCAGCTTGCTATTACCTAGTGCTGAAGGACAAGGGGCGTTATTTATGCCTCAGGTACTAAATTACCATTTTTTTTAAAGAGCTGGATTTGTTGGATTACAGGTACTTACAGCTTTTGACCAATTTTTTTATTGATCAAATTAAAAACCTCATTTTCTAGAAAATGTGAGAATACCGAAATTTTTATTTAAGTTAATTATGATCAAATAAGAATAATAATAATTATATTCAAAATATTTTCATAACTCCTGGAATATCAAAAAATAGGTCTGCTGTTTTAGTCTACTCGTATATTTCTTATATCAAAGACGATTTTATTACATGATCGATAATTTTCGAAATAACCGGACAGATTATTATTGCAAAATTTTAAATTGTGCAACAAAATTTTATATGTGTCTTAAATACAATAAAACCGATTGTTCTGAAAGTTTGCACATGCTTATACATGATAAATTGCTAATCAGAACCTATCTATATATTTATGTATTTATCGCTTCCAAAAGCTTGTGTGACGTCATCTCAAATTTTCGTAAAGTAAATTTCACCAGAAATGTGCCGGGAAGCATGCGTCTACACGTCTAGTTTCTTACTCCACTCTTAGCTTTTTTAACTGTTTATGCAAGATATTCCAAAATATGTTAACAAAGGAAATAAATAAAATAATTTATTTTATTGTTTCAATCAAAACCGACTTACCTATCCCATTTTTTCCAAAATGTTGAGGATACAGCATTATTATTATTAGTGTTACAGTGTATACATTAAAACTAATATCACAAGCGATCAAATAAAAACAGCTCTAGTTACTTGTAGATGCTCAAGTGTTTTCTGATCTTATGGCGACTAACAATAACTTGAAGTTAAATCGACAATTCTAATAGTGATATATAATCTACAGATAAAGTTCTTCTGCTAATATTGGTAGTATTAACATGGGGACTTTCGATATTATCACCGACAAATGCATATAATGATGTTAAGTACGCCATAAGTTCAAAAAAACATTTGCGCATCAAGTACTAACTAGAGGTGTTTTATTTTTGATTGCACGTTATTTTTATCTCTTCTAGAATATTGTTTGATTTATTGTAAAATAAAAACCAAATGTAAAATCCTACAAACAGGATTTGTAAAATTAAGAGTCTAGGCGTCGCTTTCTCACAAACTTCAGCCAACATCACGTCACATAACTGATTTAAACTTAATCTATAGAATTTGTTATAATAACACTATTACATTATTTCATAGAGTATGTATGTATATTTTAGAAAATACATGTACTCATATATCTGATAAGATAGCACTCTTTTATCTTCTTTTATATTAGAACTTGCATCATATTTTCTAAGTTACGAAGATTATTTTTCACATCTGTAGCTGCGGTGTGTTACCTTTTTATTATAATTTCTTCCCGATTGTTGTTGTAGTTATTTCGCTGTCAGGCTGTCACTCTATTGCCAAACACTTATTTACCTTCTGTTTTGTAACTAAAATTGCAGTGCATTAAAGCACATAAATACCAAATGCATGATTATACTGTTTTTTTGTTTAAGTTACTGGAGATGTTAGCACAAAGTAGCAAATTATCATGCTTCTTTTTCTACTTGAATCAATTTTTTTTTCGCTATACTTAATTTTAAAAACGCACATATTCAAAGGATGCAGGTAATAGTGCTTCAATTATATTAACAATTTTCTTCAAGGTTCTTTCAACTGAACTTCCTTAGTCTCTAAAGTACAGGAACATATACCGCTTCGAAAAATTATAAAATCAACAACATTCAAAACTCTTAAAAATACGAATATTACAAGTATGAATGCATATTGATATAGACTTTTAATATTGTGCATAGTATTTGATTTTTATTCGGTAAAATTTTAAGATGACGTCATCAATTTTTTTGGGGTAAAACGTTTGCAAAATTTCAAAGCACTCGATTTTGCAGTTTAAAAGTTAAATGTGCAAAATGTTGCACAATTTTGAATTTTTTTCCAAAAATCTGGATGGAGTTATATATCACACATGCAGGAGTATGTTATTTTCATAAAATTAAATAATATTTATTCATCAAAATTGTAAATTACCGTGCCTCCGATAACCTTAAAACGTTTGCAAGGTTTCAGAGAATTCGGTTTTAAAATTTCAAAATTAAATTGTAAAAAGTTGTAATTTTTCTTTTTAAATCTGGATGACAAGGATAAAAAACTCAGCACGAATTAATAAACTATGAGTGGAGAAGTATGTTCATTTATAAAATTTAAATAACATGTAGAGTTGTAAAGTTGGAGATGAAGTCACATCATTGTTGGTGGGAATGAGCAGACAAAATTTTGCAACAATTAGTCCTATAGTTTCGGAGATTAACTGTCTAATACAGGCAGCAGACGGACAGACGGAAACGAGAGACCTATTTTTTCATACTCTAAGAGTCATGAAACGTCGAGAAAACATAAAGGTAGCCAGTCGCACAGTGTACAAAAATTATAATGAATCATAAAGTAGTCTTCAGATATTTCACATTTGTATGACACCGTGAACAAATTTTATTTACGTCAGTTAACAACAATAATTGCAAAGTTCTTAAGTTGAGCAACTTACTACGTAAAAACGAGCGGCAAATTAAAGGTTAATAATTTTTCAGCACCATTCCAATAGGCAATTTGCAGTAGAGTTCTGTGAGATACAATTTAAGTCCAAATATTTCTTATTGCCGTAGTTTATTAAATGAAATACTTTCGAAATGAAGTCTAGGATTTCCTTCATTAACTGCTTCACTTATTAAGTATTATTAAAACGAAAAAAGTTCTTATAAATAGGATTTAAAAAATTTGATAAAATTTGTGAGAAAAAGTTTGACTTGAAGAAAAATATATTTATAATCCTAAACAAAGACTTGTCAACACGCACAGATACTAATTATCGTCTCGAATCGATAATACAGTTGTGACATCATAAATCACCAATCCACAAACAGTCTTCTCAGTGTATTTTTCAGTTTTTGTTTCTATAAATATTTTGACAAATCTATCATAAATTAACACCTTAAGAACCTCCATAAAATACATCAAAATATGTAGTAAACTAACATAGATTACCTACATTTTTGTATGAGTCATTTACTACTGCTATTAAACTTAATTTTTCAATAGAAATTAAAAAAGAAAACATCTAATTTAAAAGAAATTATCAATGTTTGTAAACAGCATTTTAGTTTAATACTAATACGCAACTAGGAGTAGAAAAATTCCAACAGACTTCTTGCCATGGGAACTTTCGATTTAACCATTTTTCTCTGTATACCCCGTTCTCTCTTATTAGATACTTATTAAAATAATTAGCATTTAAAAAGTATGAATTCAACTAATTGTTTTTAGCTTAAACAAAAATTCGAATAAATTTAAAGAAAGATTGACAATTTATAAAACAACCGAATATTTACTCAGCATCAGTATTCGTTGAACTTATTTCAACTATAAAAGTTGAAATAAGTATGTAAATGATGAAAAATGGAAAGGCTGCAAACATATATGTTTGCAATCGGACTCGGATAATCTTTTGTGATGATCAAAAAACATATTTATGGTGGTTCTTTACGCAATTTATTTAAATATTTCCAAGATTAAAGTTGTTAGATAGTCAGTGATAGCAAAATTTTAGGAGAGACAGTTTTCAAGTGGTTACTGTCCTCATATGATTTACAGAAGTTTTAGTCACCTGCAAAGTCGTTCAACCATAATTAGGCAGTTGATAACAAAAGTATATACTAAATAAATATATAAAAAGTTAAATTAAATTTATATTTATTTTATTTTATTCAAATTAAATTTTGTTGACCTTGGATTTGTAATTGTAATAGTATTAGATTTATAATAACGTCTCTAATTCCACATCATCCACGCAACACCCCCACTAACAGAACTCACGCAAAGAGACTGTCTAAATGAAAGATCATCAAGAAGTAAGTTACACACGACATTACATTTATGCTCTGAAGTTCCTGGATAGTGAGCTGTCTTTTCCGTGGTTACGCCTACAAAACTAAATGGAACTAAACTAAGGCGCAAAAGCCTCAAGCAAAACACCTAACATTTCACAGAAGAAAAAACAATCCTACATTCATCGATGGGAAATTTACATGTTGTTCTTTCCCTGCAACTCCCAATCGATATTTTAATTTAACATTATGTGGGGACTTGCTGCCATAAGGAATGTTAAAAGTGGTCAAAAGCTCCCTCAAATTATTGCAAGATCGGCTAAAGCGACTTGCTGCCCTCGTCGATTCCACTTTGTATTTTTGTTGTGATCAAGTGTATCAACTTCTGTTAACTTTTTTGAGATTTATTATTATTTATTGTTGACGTATTTTTATAGCCATTCTTTTGACGTCTGTTACTATAATTTATGGGAGTATATCGCGATTATACGCTGTCTAAAACCTATTATCTGCTGATTTTTAGGTTGATAATGAACTTCGATTTTTGTGTTCCCCTTGAGCTGCATTTCAAAGAATTAAAGCCATAAAAGTGAACTAATAAAAAGTAAAATTATGGATAAAGAAAAATTTACAGCCTCCCAATAAAATAATCTAAATATACTGTTTTTAGTTTAGTTCTGACGCAACCATCAATGGCTTCATCTCGTACTACTAGTGAAAGCCAGGATGGTTCGGTCGAACTGCGTGGTCAAAGACCACGTGGTCCAAGACAAGTGTCATGTGAAATACCAGAAGATGTTGAAGTGCAAAGTGGCAGATTCAGAGTTTCTAGATTAATTTCAGAAAACCTACGAAATGGGATAAATAACCAAGTAAGAAAAAACAAAAGGTGTAAAGCTTATAAATTAACAAAATTTTAGAATGTACCGGGTGCCGGTTTAAAAAGAAGTGCTTCTTCAATTGACGTTTCAAGACCCATTCGAGAGCATCCACAGTTACAGAGAACTATTTCTTCAGTGGGATCGCTTAAAGCTGAACTACTGAGAAATGTGAGTGATTTTGGTTCCACTATTTTTATATACCAACCAAACTCATTTGTTGTTTGTATTTAAACATTCAACAACTGTTCTAAATAATTTTGACCATAAAGTGGCAGAGTTTTCAGTCCAAAAAAAGCGGTGGCTATCTGGCTATACTTTAAAAGAATTAACTATTAAGTGTAACAACAGTAGATCTCTGCTCTCCTCTTGCAAATTAAGTTTCGATACTCTTGAGCGAAAAACAATATCTTGTCTTAAGAAAAATTAACAAGATTCCAGTGATGCTTCTAATTTAAAACTTGTAAATAATATCTCATTACGTAAGTAACTAAACTATATTTGTAGGAAACAAAAACGACTTCAAAAATGTTTCCAAAAACTGTGTTTTTTTCGTAATTTGTGTTTCTCTACATTAGTAAGCACTGAAATCAAAATAATTCTGTTGTTATTTCATTTTAATATACAGTGTTTGTGTGATCTGTGGCTACTCGTGACTTTTTACTTTCCTAATATAGGCAAAGGAAGTATTGTACTTAAGTCTATCTGTCACACGGTTACTCTAATGTTTTCTCGACGTTTCGTGATCCTTAGGCTACGAAAAAATAAGTCTTTCATTCCGTCTGCCGTCTATCCGTACGGGACAAACTGATGAAAAAATATTAAGCAAAATATGTCTAATCATTGCCACCAACAACTTGATGACGTTACTTCAAAATGTTTTTTAATAAACGCCATTTAAATTTTATAAAATAACATAGGTACTTGTATTTCTCGTTTATGAATCTGCTTGAGTTTTTACACTTGGCATTCAAATTTTCAAAGAAAAAAATCCAAATTAATTAATGACGAATACCACTTTTTCTTACACTGTGACTGCTATTATCTATATTTTTTAACTTATAGGGGTTATCATAAAATAAATAAAATTTCGCAAAAACAAATTTCGTTTGTTTAAATAACCTTCAACCACTTTTTAAAACTTCCATTTGTTCTATGTACCTAACTTAAAATCTTTCTAAATGGCAATTTTTATTTTACTCTTACAAGTTAAATAAAAAAATATTATAACAATGAGTGGAAAACTACAGAACGGCAGCAATTGGCAATAAATTACCGTTAACTTATTTATAGGCCTCTAAATCAAATTTTGTCCAGTGGTGATTTATTATACACAATTTTTCGATGAAAAAACTCTCTCTAATAAACTAATAAATAAAACAATAAAGCAATAAAGATTATTTACAACATTTAACAATATGTCGGACGTTCTAATAAAAAATCGTAAGGATAATATAAAAAATTACCATTGTTGTTCTACAGAAATTGTGAAACCAGCGATAGAGTAATTGATATTACACAGTAAATATAAAACACAATAAATGTACCCGGTAAAATAAAAACTGTAAAAACCTATAAATAGCTCGATGATGGTTGGTATAAAATCCGAATATTTTTCAGAAATTGTGCATTTGTTAAGATATGAACATCTACTTTCATTCAAGCTTATTCTGTGAATTAATAGTAATATCATAGTACTTATGGGCGGATAAAAAAGAGAAAAGGGGAAAGACTTAAAGGAACTATATAAAAGGAGAACATATTAAATTAAGAAAAAAATCAGGTGGGATGAATAATTTTTCAAGACACTAAATTTTATAAATAAAATTATTAAGAAGATTCATTATAAATGCTATAATTTCTGTAATAAATCTAATTCATTTTAAACAACTTTGGTTTAATAGATATTTATTTTATTAGGAGTTTAAGTGATACTTTATGTGTCGAGTATGGACGATTAAACGCCGAGCGATAGCGAGGCGAATTAAGTCCATACGAGTCACATGAAGTCACTTAAACTCCGAATGAAATACAATATTTTATTTTCAAACGATTAATCTTCTTTTGAAATGATTATTTCCTATCTTCTTGCTTCATTAAGGAATTGCCTTGATTTTACTTACCATGGTTACTATGGTTGACAACCGCTATGATTTTCACATATTTATGCTCCGGCGGAGTATAAATGCTTTATTTATACGCCGGCGGAGTATAAGTAGTACTTATACGCCGCTCAAATACGGTGTCATAGAAATGACACTTAAACCCCGGTAAGAGCGTCATATAAGTGTCAGTTATATGACGTTTGAAAATAAAAGAACTTTTAGATTAATAATAAGGAAGCCTGAGAACTATAAACTAAATATGGCATACCTACTGTGAAATTTTAAACTGCCACATATGAAAATCAGTTTCAAAAAATACTGTGATCTTACTACATTTTGCAAAAACCTTTCTAAATTAATTATTTCTGTTACCTCGTTTGTCTTGTATTTTTTATATATTTTTTTTATGGAAACCATAACTTTAAGTAGTTATAATTTACAATAAAAATGCGGAATATACCTAGCGGGCAGAATCGTTTCTAAATAGATAGATAGATATTTAAACTAATCTCACACATCAATCTTTAATATAGAGTAAATAGTTAATGATGATAAGGGAGAACTTATGAAATTGTAGCAGTAATTGTTTCAATATCTTTAGGTATATTTTACGAGTAAACAAGAAAAAACCGCAAAATAAACATGAGAGAACTTGACACTTTTTTCATCGGGACGTATTTTTTAACAACGTGCCGACTGTATAGGTCAAGAATTTTTTAACTAAACTGCATATCTAAATCACATAGATTAATCCTTTGTTAAAAATCACCGCTATGGGAATATAAGACTTCCATATTCACAAGCATTATTTATTACTGTTGTTAGTTTGTTAGTTATTATTATGAACACAGTTTTGTCACAATTTTGCATAAATAACTTAATCCGAAAATAAAAACAATTTGCCAAATATATATTTTGTAAAAAATAAACTAAGCAACTAAGTTCCGAATTGTTCAGTCATCGGTTATATAATAGTAAAATTTCTTGAGAGAGTTCTTGCACAAAACTTCACACCAACATTACGATACAAATTCATTGTTTCGTTAAAAGCCACCGCAGACAATTTCTTAACTTCTCAAGCATAGTCTTTGTCTTATTATTAATCACTCTGATTTGAATCCAGCTTAATCCGCATCCTTAATGAGGTTTGCTTTATTTCCTTCGATAAACATCCGTAAAATAAATAAAATAACAAATCTTGACGAAAGCAACTTGGTACTTATTGAGATTTTTCGCAGCCGAATGACCAACCATCCTCAATGTCACGGTCTATTTAATGCATAGGCAAGAATTAGCTTTTGTCTACACGAGTATGTTTAGAATCTTTTGTCACTGTCACTTTTCCTCATACGAATTAACCCTCTTATTCAATCAAATACTACTGACATACACTGTTTATTTAATTCTGCTTTTTAAACTTTGTTTAATTAACCTTCTAATTAAGTCAGCTAAAGTGAAATTGTAAGAATTAATGACAATAAAGAAGGTTTTACATGGTGGAACAAAAAAAAGACCGTTCCGAATGCTCGTCAGGCGAAAATACAATGGACTGAAACCTTTACTTTCCGCTGTTCTTGTAGTTTAGTCTTCAGCGAGAGAAGCGTAGCATTTTGACGAATTAGCAATGTTCCTAAAAAAACTAGTTACAAAATGCAGTGCACGCATGATCGGTTTGTTACACACACTTTTCTGAAACGATCTCGGCTTAATGAGAATTTGCACAAGTTAAATTGTTATGTGTTGTGTTCGCAGAATACCGGATCAAAGAATGGAAACATGGTTCTGAAGTTAGTTTTGCCTACAAACAACAATAACACGGAAAATGGGAATTACTTGACCAACACATCCATTGATGAGATTTTGGGTGAGTTTTAAATTATTTTATTTACCTTTTTTTACTTATTTTTGTAAAAATTTCAATGATGCGCTCCGGTTGAAGCTCGTAGTTGCATAATTATATCGTTTTTACAATTTATTGAATAGGTCAATAAACTTTGAAAGACTTATACCTAACTTATAAGACTTTTGTTTTTTTCTTAATATACTTTTATTTTAGCTCATTGTATTTGTTATTGTACTTGTATTTTTTCTCAGTTTGTCTCGAACATAATTGTCATATGTAAATATAGATGTTCCCAACACTCAGCACTAAAATTTTCTTAAGTAATTATAAATATTGATTTAAATTTAAACAATTATTATATTCACTATTTTTTATTATTTCCCAAGTAATACAATGTTCATGTATGATACGACATTTAATGTATTTTCTACCGAAAGGACAATAAAAAAACATAATCAAAGACAGTTACAGATTTTTGAAGATTTGTCTTTGATAAAATCTTATCAAATTACCGTCTATTTGAAGTTTAAGTTGAAAATGCAAATGATCAAAGGCAAACTTTTCAAAATCCATGGCTGTTTTTGAAGGTGTTTTTATTGCTCTATCGGTATTTACTTCATTAAAAAAACTCCTCTACTTTTATTGGAACTTCGGTCGTTTATATGCGGAACAATATCATGTATCTTGGATGCGAAAAAACGAGAAACAAAAATTTTCATCCTGTGCTTTGTTTTGTCACTTTGATAGTTGGTGTCGTTTTGACATTAGTTGTCATTTGTTCAATGCTGGTGAAAAAACTAGTTTATTCATAAAATGGCGTGTACTAACAACAAATATAACCCTACTTTCAATAAACCATGTTCATTGCATGAAAAAAGTGATATAAATATGTCATTTTTTTGTGACATTTCTCACTAACTGTAGAGTGTAATTTAATGAATGTAAGTTTTGTGTAAGATGTAGATTTATTTTAGAGTATGTAAGAAAAACTTATTCAAAAAATTTCACTACATTTTAAATTCCTGATGATTTCTTATTAAAAAGATCATAATTAAGATTAATTTAGATTAATTAGAATTTAATGTCACAATTAGCTCCAAGTAAATTATGTATGTACCTATTTCTTTAAAATTTTTTAATGCATTACAAAAACTTTTGTAATAATCAATAATTAAAATTGTCCTGCTTAATTTGTTGAATCTAAACCGTTCAATTTTGTGAAATGTGTTTAGGTAATTTTACAAATTATTAGTTCTCAGAATAATAATGAGTCGTGCACAATTTCAATTCGTGAGAAACAGTCGATAATAATTATGCCACTATTAAATTAGTGTAGGATTAATTATCTCAGCAGGACTTATTGCCTGTTAAAAATTTCTACACTCATTTGAAATAGTTGTTTTCTCGGGATCCGCCAAATTAGTCATGCTTACTTATTCTCTTTATAACAACATTTAAAAACAACTTTTAGTTTGTTATCTATATTAGTACAAGAGACCAAGCAAGAAATTAACTTCTTGATACCTATTCTAAACTTAAAAGTTTGACCTGATATAGGATAATAAATATGTGTCACAGTTTTACATTAATTACATTAATGACAAGTTGCACAACAATTTGTAGCTTACGCAGATAAAATCATAAAATAATAATTTATATACGGCAATTAAAACAAGTGAACAAAAAAAATTAGTTTTAATGAATTCCGTATCAGAGATCCTACTTATTAAACAAATCATGTAGTTATAATTAGATGGAATCGATTTGACTCATTGTTTTTAGTAGTGGCACAGGAATAAACAATGTTTAAGTAGTTTAGTTAAAAATAATAATGTTCACTACACTCTTAAGCTTCGTCAAATGATTTATTCGTTGCAAGGATTTTGTTGCAACAAATAATTCCTAAATTCATAATAACAATTTAATTATGCTTTTATACAGAAATAGCTACTGCTTGACTTGTAAGTAATTATATTTTACACAATTTATCTATGATACAATTAATGCTTATAAATATTTTTTTTATAATTTAGATTCTTTTTAAACCAACTGAATTTAATTTTTACTCGTTACATTTTCAATTAATAGCTCTTATCTCTACTTCCATTTTAAATTTAACATGAAAAAATAGGCTAAATTATTATTTATAAATAAAACTTGTCTCATCTTCTCATATGTATAACAAATTCTATGTGCATTTCAAAGTATTTTATCTCTACAGGTTTATCTTATATGACAGCGTTAATTTATTGGTAAGGAAACAAATATTAAGGATATGTGGCGATAAAATACTATTACACGTTTTGACAAATTCTCTGTAAACATTCTTATCAAACCAGAAAAACCAAACCAAAAAAAGTATTAATATTTCTTAAAATATCGTCACCAAGAAAAATAAATTAATTTTGATATACGCAATATATAACACATAGATAACTTACTTACCTGATGTTGTTCATGCCCAGTTAACTGATTGTCAAAGGCAAACAATGATAATGTTGCTGGATTCCCAGAATTTTGATACGAAAAAATGTGTTCGAAGAACAATTTAAATTCACATCTAAATTTACATTTTTTTTTGCCATTAAAATAAAATGATTTTGTTAATTTTTGTTTCATTTTATTAAAATTAAATCTGTATTTTTATTTTTAACTTTCGTAGTTCATAGTTATTTGCACTGTTCTCATTTCAGATATATGTATAATATAATACTTCATAAAATAAAAAGAAGAGTATTTTGTTCTTTCTTTTAAGAACTACGTAATCATAGTTATAACTATAACAAATAAGCCACAACAGAATCACTGTTATAATGTTGTGATATACAGGAAGAGAGAGCTAAAAGCGAACATCTCGAATAACTCTTCTATTTATTAGCCAAAGGTAATGATATTAAATTTGAAATACAGAATAACAGTCCACGGGCAATGGTAAATTCACTACTTTAAAAAAAGTAACGGACAAAATTTATTACAGAAATAACATTTAACTTTTTTGTTTTCTAAATATTGCAGTTTTTTTTCAGAAAAGCATAATAAATGAAATAAATTCATGAGGCTCAAAAATAGTGAAGCATCTATTTTATTTTCGTAGAAACGTGCTTAGAAAACAAAGTTCAAAACATGCTTTCAGACAATATTGTTACGAAATAAACCCATACGCCGCCCTGGTACGACGCCTATGGGTTTTCTAGTATGTATCTCTTTCTTCTAGTATGTAGTATGACTCATGGGCAGGGCGGCGCGACGTTCGCTAAAGGAAAGCCTGGAAGCGGATGTCGCGACGGGCCCAGAAAACACTCGAAGCGGCGTTCTCGATCCACCGAGAGAAACGTATAGGTTTAAATAGAGGCCACCAATGGGAACGATTATTTTTCAGCCAGTCCAGTCAGCAAGTCGAGTCGAGTGAACGAATGCATTCAAGTTGCGCCACGGAGTTATTTTGTACACAATCGCTGTAATAGTTAGTCATATCAAAATTAATAAATACTGAACTTTGCACAGTACTTTTTTGACAATTTTACACTAAAATAAAAATTCAGATAAATTAAATAAAAATTTGTGACGATATTTTTTTTAATTACTGCGCTTTCTGTCAACTATTTCATGTTAATGAAGCGATGCATATTTAATAATACTCATTCATGTTTATTTATTAACTAAATTCCTTTACATAGGTTCATAAAAAAAAAGTTATTCTAAGTGTCCTCACCCTGTACACAAAAATTTCTGGAAAATATCCATTGCTAGTAAGTTCATTTTTTGACGATGCATGTTGATATAATATGTGCATCAAATTATAGGATTGAATATCTATATAAAATAACCTCATTAGTTTAATTATTATCAATTAAATATCACTGTATTCAGTGATACTCAAAATTCAAATTTATTTGTGCTTGCTTAATATAGTTACACTTTTCACAATACTTGTATTCGAATCATATTTTTAAAACTGATCAAACCTAAAATAAAACAAAATTTTTCAAGAAAAACAAACAAACATGGGAAATACCTTTTATAGTTAAGAGAAAAAAAAATTAAAATGCCACTTAAACGCGTGGCTTTCAGCACTTTCTGATTATTTATTTCATCCTAACATCTTAATCCTGATAACAACAGTTAATTTTACGGACTACAGGTGAAAGCAACACCAGACGCCGAAGTGTAGGCAGCCAACAAGAGCTTTATTCCACAGCTGGAACCGAATGCTACGTAAATCAAGCCTATACAAATGATCTGGACGAATACGCTCGCAATTATGCTCAATCACCGATCTCTTACGCATCCAGCAGTGACCATGCAAAGGCAACCAGTGTAGAAGACAAAAAGAAAAATTTCAGGTGAGCACAATAGAGTAAAAAATTGAACACAAAACGTGTCTCGCTATGAAATATTTCGAAAATAGCGAGACCATAGAACGGATTTAATAATGATAGCACTCTACGAGGAAACGGCAATTACATTTTACAGTTGATCATTGTTGGCGACATTGCTGCCATTTGAATTCCAAATTATAGCGAAATTATATGAAGTATTCAATTACAAAATGATCTACATGCGTAATTTATTTCACACAATGTACCGATATTAATCTGAAAACGTGGCAAATGATGCTTTCAGGAAGCACCTCACCAAAATTCTCAGCTCTATGTACGCCCTCTTCATCATCACTCTTGGCGTGATAGTGTATATAAGCGACACTTTTATTGTAAACGGATCTTTGGCTGAAGTAAGTTCGAAAGATAATTTTAATAGTGGTCACATTTTTGGACGTGATGTTTCAGGCATTCAGCTTGTATCTAGTGATTGCTGCCCTCATTTTTATTCTTTACATAACGGTGGACATTAAGCTCTTTGTTATGAAGAGAAACAGGTACAATGACTTGTTACAAAAGAACGTGTCCGAGGAAATTGAGATGAAAGAATCGCCTACTGGCGAATTTCAACTTAATATCAAGCTACCCGAAGCCATCAAGTTAGGGAAACAATTAGAACATTATTATTGCTTCAGCAAGGACAGGCATTCAGGCAACTTTTATTTGAAAATCGGAGCCGCAGGTATAATTTAGCCGAAGGGAAAGTTTTTCGTAGCAATTAGTTTTATTATGTTCTTAGGTTTCTGCGTTGGTCACTTGATACATAGTGGACTTCTGCTAGGATATCAAATACTTTTTTTAACGTCAGATGGCGAAGCTTTCTACGAATGTGCCACCCTTGTAAGTCTTGTGTTGGACATCTTATACCCGGTGTACTCCTTTTTGCTGTTGTACTTCATATTCAAATATTCAAATGTAAGTATCGAAAACGTAAAAGAAGTTTATAGTGGACACCTCAATTTAATATTTCGCTTTGACTTCTCGAGATAATGTTAACAGATTATAAAAAAAGGCATGGATCAGTAATTAGTCACTTCCTTATTCTACTTATCCACAAAATTTGTTTTATCTAGTGTTTTATCAAACGTGACTACTGTTATCAAAATATTTCCACATATTACTACAACATCTATTTTTATTTCAATTCGTAATCATTTTAAGTAAGTTCGGAAGCAGTAATGATAAATAATAATTTTTTTTCACTAGCAGCCATGACGCATGCAAATGTCGACTCATTTAGTGGTAGCAAATTCAACTTTTGCGACCACCGGTTCAAAAAGAAAAATTGAGGTTATGTATGCAATGTTTGATGTGATTATTTCTTAAAAAATGAACAAATGTGTGCTACAAACATTACTTGAGTATACGCATGGTAGTTGGTAGACGGTAGAAGATAAAATGATTAACTCAGGGACAAGTATAAACGGTTTTCTTTGTATTGAAGATTTAGATTAAGTTTGATTAGAAATCAAAACAAAATCATGTTGCGTCAAAAAATTGAACGTTTATTTTTGCAGTTTATTGTCTTATGGTTTCTACTAGTGAAAAAAATAGTATATTAACCACGGTTGCAAAGCCACTTCTAGACCTCGCGCTTCAGAGCCCTCGACGCTGCGCGTCTCGGGTTCTAATTTGCGCTCGGTCTAGAATGCTTGGCTCTGCAACCTTGGCTAATAATATACTATTTTGATATTGCGATTTCGTTTTTATTCCGTTCCGATGTAATTAAAAAAAACAATAAGAAAGCTTAGCGGTTCTTAAGCAATACTAATAAAACAGGAGAGTCAGAGAGAGGTTTATATTGCTTTTGACCTTCTGCACTCTTTTTCGCATATCACTGCTTACTTCTGTTACTTTCATTAATTAAATTTTTCTCTATTCAGAGATATTTCATCCAAAAAATCTTGATCCAAGCATGTCGCAAAAAAATGATATATACCATTAAAAAACCTTGATCCCGTAATATTACCTCCACAATTATATTTATAGTTGCATTTCCTAACATCCCATATAAGACAATTATAGCACAATATAGGCATATCCGTTATGATACCATAAACAATTCCGGTTGTTATCTTTATAGATCTGTCACCTATTTAAAAATTTATATAAGCTTGCCTACTTTTCTTTAATTACACCTTGTTTCTAATAATTACTTTGTTCAATAAAAGAGTTTTGAAATTTGAAATTAAGTGCAACAATAAATATCCTTTATCAAGGACGTATGTAAGTACATTTTTGTTTTGTTACAGATAATAATAAATCGCCATGTGGCGATAGTTCGTTTCGCTCTAATGCATTGTATATCTGCAAGTCTCTGTTTCTGGATGTGGACAATCCTACGAGAAACAGTGGAATCACTTTCTAATCACGCTCACGAAGACGACAACACCGAAAATTCCATCACTACCCTTTCCGAAATCTCATTTTTTACAAGTCAACCAGTTGCCTTACCGCTCACTTCTTACAACAAAAGAGGCGCTTCACTATTGAAGACTTATCTAAACGCTTCCTTTCATCAATTTGTAGGCGAATGTGGGAATGACGTCGGCATGAGTACAATCTATCGCAACTATTCCCCTTATTTGTATCCATTCTCCGTGGAGTACAGCATCCTTGTCGGTGAGCATCACATAATCACGTGTGTGGCCGTTTATTGAAACTAAATGTTTAGTTGGGGTGCTGGTCGTGATATGGGGAAACATCGGAAAATGCAAAGAGAAAGAGGAAATGTCATCCGAGCGACAATGTGACAGTCCCGAAGGAAACAATGATAATCTCGAGAGCAACATCGTTATTCACGCCGATTGCCATTCAGCCAACAAGGGGCTGTTTAGTGGAATTGTCATCATGGTGTTGACGATTGTCAGCGTCATATTGTTCCTCATTGCTGTTAACGATGAGTAAGCAACGCTTTTTAATTTGTGGTAGAAAAACTTTTTACTGATGTGTTTTGTGAGATACCTCTTCAAGCGTATCGCTCAATACCGACCTGAACATGTGATTCATACTCAAAAATTAATATAAGCAGTATTGATGAACAGTTCTCGTTAGTCAGTGTGCATTTACTTTCGAATCATTCCATCCATGCAACAGTTTTTCTTTTCGTATTTTATTTTGTAGAAACAATTTATTTTGAGACAAGTGTGTATAAAAATGAGACATGATATGCCACAAAAGTTATCCAGAACTGTCATTTCCACTAAACATTAAATGATAAATAAGTACTTCTCAGTTATTTGTAAATAAAAAATTAGGAGTATAAGATAAGTATTACAGTCAATAGTGAGATCCTTTCGTTCTCTTAAACATACGTTTTTACCTAGTTGGTTCCTAATTCTTTTTTTTTTCAATATGGCAGATTAAGAAAAAAAAATAATAATAACGCTCAAAATAAGATTTATGGCAGCAAAAAAGATTTATTATTAGATAAAACATCAAATTATCATCAAATCAAGAATTTTTTATTGTAAATACAACTGGAAAATACCAGTACAAGAGTAATACACGGTTATTTGGATTACGTATTTGCGGTAAAATTACAGTAATTCTGAATTGCGATTGGATTTCTTCAGTTTTTATTTTCTCAATTAAACTCGTATTTTCTACAAAATTCTCCCTATTAATTAAATCTTTTTAATTTTTTTCAGTCCACAAAGTGTTTTCAACAAGTATAACTTCCATGCCTCTTTAAATAAGTTGTAATAACAACGGCATTATTGACGAAATGGTATATTTAGCGAAAGCAGTGTCCAATGTATTCCTTAATTATATATATGTAGCTTTATATTAAATAATAACAGAGATTACCACAAAACGATGAAAGAGACACTTTTTCAAAATTGAAGAGTTAATTAGGTAATCCCAATACAACTGTGGGATTTAATTCAACCTTTTAGAACTGACCAGAAAAACTACTTTTGACAGACCAGACATTACAGGAAGTGTTAATGAAATACTGTACACAACTTTTCGGCTTTCATCTAAAAATAAGGTCTACAATTTATAGCTCCTCCACTAGCGGAATCTGACTCAGAATCATAATTAGAAAATGACAATAGTGACATGACGACTCAGATTTTAATAATAAAATACTAGATGCTGACTTTGAATAATACGTAGAACTAAACTATTTTAGTAAGTGAAAATAACTAAAACTTTGAATACTTAAATGCATCTTGCCAGAGGATAAGCGACTTGTCAAAATTAAACTAGAGTTAAAATTTACTGTTAAATAGTATATAGATTTACCATCCTGGAATATTTTAGGCTTGCAGAGCACTCTGAAGAAAAATTCTAAGAGAAAATACACTAGAAAATTAAGGAAAAATCTAGTAATTCTATAACTTTAGTCGACAAAAGCCCCTAAATTTTGCTTTATTTATTAAGATTTAAATAAATTGTGTTCTCCTATTAGGACAATCAAAAGCATTTTTTGCAACTGAAATGCACCTAGCCTCAATTTTCCAGTAATATGTCTTGATTAGCTATTACACATTCAGTTAAAAAATAATTTCTGATTAAATTTTATGTAAAAACTCAGTAAAATTAGTTTAATAATAATATTTGTTGATGATTTTTAAAATGGCAAACATGGTGAGGTTTTTTTTTTCTTAAACTACGAAAACATCTCTTTATTTTTATTTCATGACCAAGAAAAAATAGGTCTCTCGTTTCCGTCTGTCTGTCTGTCTTTGTCGTTTTTATTAGACAGATAATAATAATTTTGCCTAGTTAAGGTTATCTAAATTTTATGAAATAGTATACTCCCATGGTTTATAAATCCGCCTTAATTAGACTATAAAAATTCTTTTGTGTACTATGTTCCTCTTGGTTCATGTCTCGTTTACTGCTTGAAATGCTTCGTCGTTGAGTGGAACTGAGGATTGATTCTTGGAATTATATTTTGCCTCATGTGGGTTCGAATCCTACTTTTTATCATTTTATATTAAAATAAATAGAATATTGTAAAATCAAATTTTATAATTTTTCGAAAAAACTGATTTTTACTTCCCGAGCGTAAGCTCAGAAAGTATAATAATCGAGTCCATCGGACAAATGCCACTTTTATGTTTTCTCGACGTTTCATAACCCCTACAATATGAAAAAGTAATCTCTCGGTCTGTCCCCGAAATTTGCTGGACCGATTGTTGTCAAATTTTCTATGTTTGTATATGTATTAGAAATATCATGTAGATGGTTATATCATCCCCACCAATAATTTGATGACGTCATTTCAATGAATTGTATTTTAAAATAATTTGAATGTTATAGAAAAATATACACCTATATTTATAGTGTATGAATCCGCTTTCAGTTTTTTCGCTAAACGTTCAAATTTTCGCAAAAACATTTGGAAATTATAATACGTACATTACTAACACCCTGTTTGAGCTTTCATGGCGCAGCGCCTATATCGGATAGAAGGCGACATACGGCGCAGCCATACCACCTGCGGTTGTGGGTTCGATGCCGAACTTGGCCCTTTTTTATTCCATTGGTAATACACTGTGATTACTTTCCCTTTGTGCTGTGACTAGTGCTATCTATGTTGATGACACAGCACGTATGAAAAGGATATTTTAAATAAAAATTTAAAAACGCGAACATTTCATTACAAAAGTCTCACTTGAAATATCCAGCTACTTTGCCACGGTATATACTTTTGTAAATAATACGTTTTCCTAAAACAAGTAAAATTTTTAAAAGCAAATTTTATAAAATACACGAAATATTTTTTTTTATTAGGGCAAGATACTAAAATTGATTAAATGATTGGAGAACAAGTTATTTATTTATCTCCTATAGCAAATTTGTGACTTCATCACATTTTTTTTTCTGTATACGTTTGTTGAAAAATATGCTGCAAGGTTCTAAAACAATGGATAAATGATTTACTTAATCGTGTTGATGAAATTTATGAATGGTTTAGCTAATTCTTCCAAAATTGTCTGAATAAAGTTATAATTTTTATTTTAATGTACAAAATAAAATTAAAGTGACAAATATAAAATTTCATCTATGAATCCCATTTCGTTTGACTGTACTCAAGTTTTGTCTAAATAACATAGGATCATTTTTTTATTAAATACCCACTGGACTTCTACTTTAAAAAAGCTAATAGTTTTCTTGGATGTTTGATAATGTCCACGTTATAATGACATTTGAGGTGATTTTGGACATCAAAATATGTTTGTGACCACAACGCAGAAAATTTTATTTTGCTGAAGAATCTACCAACTGCGCCGATAATACAATTTGTGGATTCCTTATTATTATTTTTTTTTTTTGATATTGTTGCCACCAGATTTAGTTTTGCACTTCTTGCAGCCTGTTTTATTTTGGGCGGTAATAAATTTTTTCCATAATATGGAATGGAACCAACGGACACGCTGTGACAAATAATAGTAATTTATGTCTTAAGGGGATAATTAGAAAGGTTATGGCACGAGGGAATGTTTAAAGCTTGACGAAGGAGGGCTTTGAATTCCCCGAGGGCCACAATCAACAATTATGCTCGTGGTACATACGTTTTATTCTATTTTAGTTTCTAAAATATTTTTAACGAAATATATTTCCGGGAAGATTGTGTGAATTGTGCCGATGCGAACTTTAATATATACATAGGTGGCTATTATTTTGATGTTGTTATCAATAACAACCACGTTGTTTATTTGTTAAATAATTAAATTTTCAAAATACAAACTGAATGCCCGCATTATCTCACTTTTGTAACATTTGTCGTATTTCCGATAATTTGAGAAAAACACTGTTTTGATTATGAACTTATTTTAAAATACACTTTTCCATTGAAAAATTTCAAGAAAATCCATATTCTTAGCACAACAACATTTTCCAAAAATTCGTACTGTTAGTTACTGTATATAAAAACATCTTTTCTTACAAGCGGTAACATTCTTTAATTAACAAAAATTAAATTTTCCAATAAGTGTCAATCATTTCTAGACACACTGTATATAAAAGCGCTAAAACAGCTTTTTAATAATTTTCCCTTGCAATAAAAAGAGCTAATTCTGGAATTCGTAGAAATAACTGAGATATTCATCTATACAAGTTCTAAAGATAAAATTTCGATTTTATCTTGACAGATTGTCAAAGTTGTTTACAGTAGTATTTTCAAAAAATTCGTCATTAAGAATCTTTTATTGATATTTATATTACCTACTTATCTTGTTTCAGTCGTTTCGAAGCGGAGGCAATCATTATCAATACAACCACCTCCATAATTATCACCTGCCTAATGACCATCACAAGCATATTCGCCTATCGCCAGCTTACTAAGCTAGATATTAGCAAAGAACACATGTCATTCCTGGACGATTTACTACTATTCATCTGCATTCCGGCATTTTTTCTTAATGGGATTGTTGTAATCATTCCTGCCATCGCAGACGGCAATGCAGGTGGCATTGTAGTCATTGTAATGGAAATTGGTCAAGTTTTAGTGCAAACACCTCTTATAATTGACGGTTTACGACGATGCAGCAACACCAAAAAGCTAAGAAAAGAAAAACCAGGAAGAGAACTTCTAACATTCTTGATTGTTTGTAATGTGGCTATGTGGATAATGCAAACGTTCGAAGTGAAATCACACAGTTTGCAAGATCATCGACAGGAGTATTATGGCGAAGAATTATGGACAATTATAAGCCATTTGTGTGTTCCGTTAACCATGTTTTATAGGTTTCATTCATCTGTGTGTATAGTGGATATTTGGAAATATGCTTATGAACCGAGTTCACATTAAATCTTGCGTAACGTGTTGTGATTGATTAAGTGTGTAATTGCCTAGTACTAGGTATTGACGCTAATCTTATGTAATTTATAATTTGTACAAAGTAAAGTATCTGTTTCTAAGCAACACATTTGTAGGTTCAAAGGTAATCCATTTTGTAAATTATTGAAAATATTGACAAAGTTACGAACTACTACCGACAAAATTTTATCCTAAATGTTAAATTGCCATTTTGGTGTTTATTCAGAATCGATTTTATCGGAATATTTTATACAAATAAATTAATTAATTAAATGTTTGCTAGTAAACATAATTAAAATAAAACACAAAAGCAAACCAATACGTGAAATTACAGGCACCATTTTCTACTAATTGCGTTACTGATAACAAACTGCGGTGATACTATGATGACATTATTACTGATTACATAGTAGAAAAGAATTTATCAAAAAACTTGTTTACGTTATACGTACTCAAAAAGAAGGCACATATTCAAAAATTAAAACATCTGATAAAAATAAGGACACTTAACATAATTAGGCCTGTTTAAGTATGTATCATACTTTTTTCAGAGAGCATTAAAACTTAAAGAAGAAGGCAAAATTTGAAGTTCACAGATGTATTCAATAATTTTAAAGATAAAGATTTTGTAATTCAGGTTCTTACATATATTGCTATTTCTTGATGTACAAGTTAACCAAAATAATGTCACACATTTAATTTTCCATTTTATGAACACAGGAAGAAATGTTGTAGTTTAAATTAGGCATTCCGGCTTGGGTTAATAGAACATCAGTTTCTGAAAGAAGTTATGAACTATTTTAAAATGTCTTTATCTAAATTCAAAATCTAAAATTATCAGTGAGTGCAGAACTCGTATAAGTAAAACAGACATTCATCGTAATCGCAACATAATCTCAGTCATAAAAAGTAATATTTCGTGAACTTAATATCTAACGTATTCTTTTCCAAGTTTATGCAATTAGTTTTAATAGGTGGTAACTTATATTCCGAAATAAGAATTCTTATATTTCTTGAGATATGTCTGTAACATTTATTAATTAAATAGGCATAGTTTTATTATGCTATAAATGCTCATATACGAATTAATCATTTTTGGACACTGGCTATAACGAATGTAACCACTCATTCAGACATTTGATGACTTCTTTAATTACGTATAGTCTGTAACATTTGTTTAGTATAAATTAGATATATTTCCAATGAAATGTTGCCTAAAAACATTAACTCGATTAGTTAACTCGGTAACTCAAACATAATGGAAAACCTCTTGAAAGAACCAGGAATACGAATGAGTATCCTAAAAATTCTTAAATTTTCCAGGTAAACATTGCTCATTTGAATCGAAAAATTATGGTGAATTTATATGGTTTGGTAACCAAAAATACTCATTTAATCAAAAATCGTTCTCGATATCGTATGGTACTTCATTTTTCGCCTTTATTTTTCATTCAAATTTTCGGTAGCAAACTTTAATTCTTCATTTCATACATGTTTTATTTTAAAATCTTTAACATTTATAAGATAAAAATTTGTGAACGGGTGCAACATGGTGCAACTGACAACAACCACAGACTTTTAAAAATATTTATATAAAAAGACACTGTTTTATCTAGTAGTTTCTTCAACTGTTACATCTTTACCTTTTAAATCAAATATCCTGTTAATTTAGAAAGAAATGGCGTAACAGGAATTTTTCTCTCTCGTTAATATTTTCAAGTCTGTTTATTGGTTTGTGTTTAAAATAATTTTAACTATAATATCACCAATATATCGTTTCTACCACAGTTATTTCGTTATTACCAGACATAACACTATTTGGTAGAGATTGAACTGAATAACTGCCTGCTTAATTTTAATTTATTGTTTATAAAATTCTATATTTTATGTTGATACTTTTGTTCATGTGTATACTTTTATATAGACTTTTTGTATGTACTTCATTTCAATAAAATAATGTAACAATCTGAACACTAAAAAAACCGATTAGATTTTCCAAAAATTCTTCTCATTTTCTCTGAGAACATTAAAAATTAAAAAATTGGTCTAAAGAGTTTAGACAGTACTTCCCTCGCTGTCGGAAACTTGACGACTGCATGCCTATTGTGTTTTTTTTTCTCATCACATTTTTGTACTGGGAATTTAAAAAAAATTGCGATGACGTCATCAACATTTTTGCAAGGACACGTATATCAGTTGGAATAGATGTAGTGTAATACTAAGAATAAAATTACTGTATTCCCAAATTTTCGGGAAAATGGATTGGGTCGTTTTGAATATTGATTTGTTATAATCAATAAAATAACGAAACAATTTACTCACGTATACGGCGCCGGCGTGTAATATGAGAGGGAACTGAAAATCGTGTATGTATAAGCATTCTTAATTTAAGATGACAAGCGTAACAGCATACGTGAGAGTCAAACAGAGAAACTGTAAACAAAACGACCATCGGTTTTATTGCTTCGACTTCCGCTTATTATATAAAACATTGGGTTTTATTTTAATTTTTGACGGTGGAATTCACAATTGGTTGATTATAAACATGTCTATTCCACATTCGCGGAACCTAGTCAGCGCATAAAACAAATGCACGTCTGTAATGTTAAAGTCGATGTAAATAAGCGTGCTACCCTTATGTTTCAACCGAGATTTTACTTTAAAAAATTTTGTGTCTACCAAATTGGCGTGGTCCAATGTAGTACTAACAATAAGTGTTACCTTTAATTTAATCAATAAAATAAATTGACTTCATTAATTTTTTTGAGCCACCTCTTAAGAAAATCTAAAAAATATGAATGGAATGATAAATCACAAGTACAACCTCATCATATTGTTTGCATTTTAGACAGGATTTATTCAGCAAAATTTAAGGGTGACGTCATCAATTTTTTTAGGAGGGATGAACAAATACATTTTGAACAAAAGTTTACCATGCTTATAATAACTTTAAAATATCTCCAAGATTTCAAAGCATTCGGTTTTGTAATTCCTGATTAAATCGATAAAATAAATTCACGCATTCATTAATTTTTTTGAGTCAGCCTGTATATACAAATCCAAAAATATGAATGGAATGATAAATCACAAGTACAGACTCATCATATTTTTCACATTTTAGATAGGATTTATTTACCAAATTTTAGGGTGACGTCATCAATTTTTTTAGGGGGGGATGAGCAAATAAATTTTGATAAAAAATTTACCATGCTTATGATAACTTTAAAACATCTCCAAGATTTCAAAGCATTCGGTTCTGTAATTCCTGATTAAATCAATAAAATAAATTGACGCATCCATTAATTTTTTTCAGTCACCCTGTATATACAAATCCAAAAAATATGAATGGAGTGATGTATCACAAGTACAGACGCATCATATTTTGTACATTTTAGATAGGATTTATTCGGCAAACTTTTGAGCTGACGTCATCAAGTTTTTGGAGGGGATAACCAAATATATTTTGACTAAAGATTTATGATGCTCTTTATAGCCTTAAAACATCTGCAACATTTCAAAACATTCGGGTTAGCAGATTCAAAATTAAATTCCAAAATGTTGTTTTATAATTTTGATTTTTTTTCCAAAAATCTAGACGTTTCGGGTAAAAACTGAATTCGGAGTCGTAAACTACATGTGCAGGACTATGTTATTTTATACAATTTAAGACCCATCTACTATGTACAATTTTGAAGTGACGTCATCGCATTAATGGTGGGGATGATCAGACAAATTTTGGTTACCGTTTTACCATCTACATGATATTCCTAATATAAGTACAAAATTTCACAACAATCGGTCGAGTACTTTCGGAGATTATCTGTCTAATAAAAATCCGGGACGGCAGACAGACGGACAGACGGACAGACGGACAGATGGACAGACGGACGGACAGACGGACAGACAGATGGAAATGGGAGACCTATTTCTTCGTATTCTAGGGGTCATGAAAGATCGAGAAAACGTAAAAGTAGAGAGTCGGCCGACGGACTCGATTACAATACTTCCTTTGCTTAAGCTCGGGAAGTAAAAACCCATACATCGACCAGAAAATTAATGTTTGTGATTTTTTTGTCATAGTGGCAGCATATTTAAAATTTTATGATGGCATACCTGATTGTCAAATTCACACCAAGTCCGCAGCTGCTCTCTTCTCAACACGTTGTTAGGTCCGCTCATGTGAAAGTTGACAATTGTGAACTGACAATAATGACATACTAGCATTGTTGCCAATAATTCAAAATTGCCAACACAAAAATTGTTTCAATCGTTAATAGTCACCCGGTATTAATAATCTCAGTAGTTCCATTCTGTCGGAACAAATGGCCATAATTGAATGACAAAGTCGCAGCATATGTATAACCGGCGTCATCTCTATTGATCCGTTGTGGTACAAATTACTTTCGCCCTACTAGTAAAAATAATTATTTGCTATCTCAAAAATTCCAGGAGTTCTACCCTAACATTTCACACATAATTAAATCCACCAGTGCTTTTGTAATAGCACGTATTTTCTAGAACTGATTATTTTTGTCTGTAGGGTGAGAGTAATTTAGACCACAATAGATGGATAGACGAAGTGACCTCGGATTAGACTGATTAATAATTGTTTTATGACAAACAGTTATGCTCTATTAATTTTATGTGATGCATCCATTATAACGAAATAAATCTACTGATGTCCACAGTTGTATAATCATGAGACAGAGTTACATATATCAAGTGTTTCCCGCTTCTTTATACCAAATATCAATGTACTTGAAACGTCCATTTTAGGACCTCTACTATTTCTTCTGTACGTATATTATATATCTTCGAAATTATTTCTCAAAATATGAGAATGCAGACCACCGAAAATCCACATGTTTATGTTATGTTTCGTCCTCAATTGATGTTTGGGAAGCAATTAATCAACAATGGATAAGATAACCCATATTATACGAAGGCAATTGAAATAATAATCATGTTATTAACTTGCTTATTCAATGTAATGCTCTTCAATGTAAGCTAACCTCTGCTAAATATTAACAACAAATTTTTCCAGACAATTATTCCCAACAAGAGGGGGCTAAACCACATTAGACTAAAATCACAACAACAATGTTTTAATTTTTTGGCTTATTGGCGAATTATTAGCCGACATCACAGAATATTTGGCCCCCGAGATTTTGTATTCTTACTCCTTCCTTCAGACTTCTTTTGTGACCCTATTTAAAGAAAAATATTTATCAAATTATCAGACTTCTGTCAACAATTTGATGAATTTAAGGTTACAAATAACACAAGAAATTAACGACATAAACTATTACCCAAAAATATTGAAGTATATGATCTTTGGAGTTAATCAAAGATCTCAATAATGTGCTTACAACGGAATAGGCAATTTTTTCAATATAATCTGTAAATTAGTTTTATTTATTTAATAAAATTAATAAATTTTATACCGATTTTAGTGTGTAACTTTACACTTACTTTATTAAAAATCTTATTATAAAGTACCCGCCATAATTGCTTTTACACTTGCTATTTATTTATCAATTTCGGTAGGTGTAATGTAATACTAATAATAACAGTATTGTACTCCCAAATTTTCGGGAAAATGGAGTGAGGCGTTCTTGACTTAATCAATAAAATAAATTAACTCATTCATCAATTGTTTGAGTCTCCCTATATAAGCAATTCTAAAAAATATGAATGGAATGTTAAATCACAAGAATATGCTCATATTTTCTACATGTTTGAGATTTATTTGCCAAAATTTTGAGATAAGGTCATCAATTTTTTGGAGGTGATAAACAAATATATTTTGAATTCAAATTTACAATGGTTAAGATAACTTTAAAATATGTACAATATTTCAAAGCTTCAGCTTTGTAGTTCCTGATTTAATCAATAAAATATATTGATTCATTCTTTAATTTTTTTAAGTCGTCCTGTATAAGCAATTCAAAAAATATGGATTCAATTATAAATCACAAGTATAGACTCACCACATTTTAGATAGGATATATTCGGTAACACTTTAAGATGACGTCATCAATTATTATTAGGGGAAAGCATTCGGTTTTGAAAACACAAAATTAAGTTGCAAAATGTTGCTCTGATTTTTTTTTTCCAAAAATCTAGATGTGTCAGGTAAAAAGTCAAAACGGGTTTATAAACTACAGGTGTAGGACCATGTTATTTTATACAATTTAAAACCCTTACTATGTAGAATATTGAGGTGATCACATTATTAGTGGAGATGATTAGACAAAGTTTGGCCAGCGTTTATCCGCATGGTATTCGTAAAGCATAAAAATTTCACAACAATCGGTCCGGTAGTTTCGGAGATTATCTGTCTAAAAAAATCGACACAGACGACGAACAGATAGGCAAACGGAAACAGGAGACCTGTTTTTTCGTACTCTACAAAATATGAAAGCAGCCAGTCGCCCGATGGACTCAGTTACAATACTTCCTTAGGTTAAGCTCGAGGAGTAAAAGTAAAAAGAATCAGCTTACAAAACTGCAGAAACAGTACCCGATATATAATCGACTGTTTTGTTAGAAACGATACACAACAAATAAAGTCGAAAACAGATCTACATCTTTTCCAAGTGTATTTCAGAACAAATCAACTGTAATTCAGATTAGTGAATTGTATTTCAGAAAGCGTCAGTTGTAATTCACAATAGACAGTTTTATTTGAGAAACCATTAATTGTATTTCAGAACAGTCACATGTAATTCAGAATACAACAATTGTATTTCAGATTTCGCCAATTGTAATTCAGAAAGCGTCAAATGTAATTCAGTCAATTTATTTTTTCCTACATAGACAGCTTCAATAATTGTATTTCAGATTTTGCATAAACCCACCATTAACATTTATAACTTATGGAAAATTAACAAACAAAAATGAAAACAACAAAAAAATTAATATGAAACACACGAGGAAACACATTAGCGACCAACTTGCATGTCTTGCATTGCCAGTGCTGCAGCATGGTGGACGGTGCTGTGTTGAGCAGCTCCAGCACAATCACCACCAACCACCGTTTCTTTAGCAGCGTCGATTATTTCTTCTAAATATACAAGTCGTTGTTCTACGACGCCTGGAGGAGCCACCACAGGCACACGAAGATGGGTTTTGGCATACGTTTTTATTTTTGACCAAATGTTTTCGATCGGATTAAGCATTGGTGAATAAGGTCCTAATCGTAAAAGAGTAGCTCCTGTTCCATTTACTGCTTCTTCAAGTGAAGAATGGCATGGGGCATTGTCACTGACCAAAACTAGGTCGGCGATTTCGTTGCCCATAGCTTGCCATTCTTCTAGCAATCTTCTAACCCATTCATTCGCTAAAAGTGCCGTAAAAGAAGCTCTTCTTCGCTCCATTTGTACGACTCCTGCAGCTGCAATTGCTCCTATCAGGTGCACATTAGGACCTCTAGCTACTGGAAGGTGTTGAACGGCTCGGTTTCCAACACGAGCTCGACCACGGGTTCGACGGCAGAACAAATTGAAATTTGTTTCGTCGATCCAGACAATTTGCTTCCCTTGTTGAATATACCTGTTTAAATTTTCAACGTATTCGGCTCTCTTCCTTTTATTTTCCGGGGTGTTCATAAAGACTGATTGCCGATGAACCCCCTTTACAGTGAAAATTCTACCTTCAAGATAATTCCCTATTGTTGATATTGACACTATTTGTCTAAAATGCTGCAAAACTTTGTCTTTCAACTGCTTCAGTCTTCTGCTAGAGTCTTCTTCAACCCATTCTATTATATTATCAATTTGTTGTCCAGTGAGTACTTTTGGTTTTATGCCACCTTTTTGAAGCATTAAAGGGCGACCAGAATGTACCCAGTGAGATGCCGTTTTGTAATTAATTCCCAAAGTTGTAGCCAACGCGGTCCAGTTGTCACCTCTATTTGCACAAGTGACAATTCTCTCACGGTCTTGAGAAGAATTTTTCTTGTAGCTTTTTCGTTCTATGATTTCTGTATTATCCACTTCGGTTCTACAAAGTGGACATACATGGTCTTGGTTAAGTCCATTCAATGGTTGCAGACAATTTGTATGGAACAAGTGTCTGCAGGGTAATAAACGTGCCACCCCTTTTCGCAGCATGGGCACCCTACATATGGCACAATTATCTTTTAAATTCATATTGAACAATAAGTAATTACACAACTTTTGTGACAAGCTATTATTAATAATAGTAGATTGTTTTATTAGGATTAAAAGTGCCATTTTTTGCGACGAGCAAATTTTGCATTTGCGAGGCGGAGCGAAGCGAAGCCGAGCGGATGCAAAATTGCGAGTCAAAAACTGACTTTTAATCCGAATGAAACATACTACTTTTTCGCCAGCCAAAAAGTAAATCTCAAAAATACAAAATATTGATAACAATAATATCGAGCAGAAATGAATCAATCTGCAAAGTAGTCTGGTATCCACGTCGTCAAGGCTTTTTTTGTTTGCTTACATACCATTGTTTTGTGAAAACGTTTGCAGTGTTAATAATGAATCCTGAAGAAGAGTTACCTCCCGATGTGCTAGAAGAAGCACAAAACGTGGTACTGAACTTGTTACCAACAAAATCGCGCGAAGTGTATGAGTGCGCGTATACCCGCTTCATCAAATGGTGCGAAGGGAAAAAGATTCAAACTTATTCTGAGAACGTCCTATTGGTATATTTTTCCGAATTGGCTACAAAAATGAAGTCATCCACACTGTGGTCGCAGTATTCCATGGTGAAAGCAACTTTAAATATAAAAAATGGCATAGAAATCGGAAAGTATTCAAAATTAAAAGCGTTTATAAAGAAACAAGGAGAAGGATACGTTCCAAAGAAATCAAGGGTTTTAACTAATGAACAAATAGAAGTTTTCTTAGACACGGCTCCGGATTTCAAATTCCTGATGATGAAAGTATGTTTATAACCTAATGAAGAGCTTATATTTATTTTACGAATTTTTTTCAGATTGTTGTAATCTTTGGCGTTAGCGGAGCTTGTCGGTGTCACGAACTATTACAAATAAAAACTGAAGATATTGAAAATATTAAAGCAGGTTTATTGGTAAAAATTCCTGATACCAAAACGAAAAAACCCAGATCATTTACGGTTATGGGGGAAAAGTATTTGAAATTTTACGAAAAGTATGTTGCGCTTCGTCCAAAAATGTTTAATGAAGGTCGGTTTTTTATTAAATATGTCGACGGAATGTGCCATCGACAAGTAGTTGGCATTCATAAAATTAGTGGTGTACCCCAAGAAGTAGCCAAATATTTAAAGCTAGAAAACTTTAAAGAATACAGCGGACATTGCCTACGTCGGACTTCTGCCACGCTTTTTGTGGATTCTGGCGGTGATATTACGTCCCTCAAGAGGCACGGTGGGTGGAAATCTGACAGTGTAGCCGAAGGTTACATAGAAGAGTCTCTTAAACACAAAAAAGATGTAGCAAAAAAAATTTTTCGTTTGGAAGAACCAGGTACAAGTAGTGAAACCACAAGTAAAATACATGAAGACGCAACGAATAGGAATGTGAGCGAAGTGAACCTAGAAGAATCAGGTACAAGTAGTGGAACTACGAATAGAATGATCACACGTGAAGACGGAATAAGTATGAATGTGGGAGCAGTAAACCTGAATTTTGACACTGTGACCAACCAGACAGCAGGAGCGGTAGAAGTGTTAGCGCAAAATATTATTACTGACCGCATGAAAAATGATAATAGTGACGGAAAATCTTTAATCCAAATCAATCGCAGTTGTTCTTATTGTACATTCAATATTAATTTTAAAATTTAAATAATTAATAACAATGTAAGTTAATAATAAAATTGGAAAATATTAATAGCATTTCATTCTCAAAATAAAACAATTGAAAACTTTTTAAGGCTAGGATTAAAAAAAAAATTAATGCTAGGATTAAAAAGGCAAAAATGACGTTGTTACTTTAGTAACGCAACTTTTTTTTACTCTCACAAAAACGTCAAGTTTTCCGTCCAAAATTGACGTTAAAAGTGACATCTTTTAAGACGGCTGGCGAAAAAATAAAATATTAATAAAAAGTCGTTTACATAGTAACAAAAGGCTCCTTGATTCCTGCTGCAGTAAATGAAAAAATATAGTTTCTGAAATACATATAACGAAATCTGAATTTCAATTGACAATTTCTGAAATACAATTCACTAATCTGAAATACATTTGCTGCGTTCTGAAATTCAATTGATTAATCTGAAATACATTTGATGCATTCTGAAATTCAAATCACTAATCTGAAATACATCTAACGATTTCTGAAATCGACGTTATATTTTCTGAAATACACTTGGAAAAGGTGTAGTACGATTTCTAAAGTTTTGCAAGCTGAAAACAGTGGTCAAAACCAAAATTTCCGTAAATAATTGAAATTCTGAATTTTTAAAATACGTGATGCTAAAATTTCAACAAAATTTAAAAAATATATGATAATAAACTCTTAAAAAAACTGCCCTCGCAATTATATAGTGACAGTTGTGTACAAATTACATTAAAATTTCATAATAATAAGTGTATTAATAATGGAAGTATTACATTCTGAAAATATATAGACAACAGCATAGGAGCCAAACGTAGCGACTCCTCTTAATTTGAGGAAAACAAACCTACAATCACTTAATTTTAAAAAACCCGGCGCTTCTTTACAGTATTGAACCTGTCAGTAAAATAATTGCACGCGATTTTTCGGGACACAAATTCTAATTTTAGAATACTTGATTCTCGATTCAGAATGTGTGAGACTTGATCACAGAAGCACTGATGAAAATGAAAAAGAATATAAAAAGGTTACCAAACAGTGGCGGCTGGTGGGTCAAAATTTCGGGTCGGCCAAATATTTTGAGTCTACACCTTGGTGTTATATATTTTCGTAATGTATGGCTGCTACTCATTAACCACTGACATTTTACGTGCCAGGATGTACAAAACATCTCAAATGTTTCGACCTGTTAAAATAATTTTTTATAGGAAATTGACAATGTCAGTTTGATTCCAAATACTATTAATCCTTAATTCTACTTGTTCTGCTTTATCATTAATTGAGAACCACCGAAAACATTATTTTTACTGAGTTCCGCGTCGACCGGCGGCTATACGGCTTGCCGACCCCGGACATCCACAATTAAATAATAATAATTAAATAATGACATGCAGTTAAAAAATATAAAAAAAGTAATAATAAAAGTACCAACTGTTAACTATCTTCATTTACATTTATTTATTTTTAATGTATATGACAAATTGTCAAATAAATTAATTGAATAATTGAAAAATTAAAATGATTTAAAACTTTAAATTCGTTTCTGAAATATCTGAAAACGCTTAGATGCTAAAAATACAGAAAAAACGCATTTATGTTGTAGCTAAGTTATGTACGAAAAATAAAATTTTAGATAATTTAATGTAATTTTTTTCGTTTATTATTCATACACAGAAAAATGTATTAAATCGACAATTATTATTTAAAAAAAAATAGTATGCACTGAAGAACATCGAAGCCGTTATTGTTTTGTAATTTGGTTAGCTATCTTAAATATTAAGCGTTTTAAAAACTAAATTCGCGTTGCTGGGTACGGCGAAGGAGGATTTCGCCGGACCTGGCACAACATACGTTCCGCCAGGTCTTTGTCTACTACAGTGTACTAGACAAAGAGAACGATGAAACCGTAAGCTGCTACGAAGTCGAAACATCGAGCATAATGCATTCCTGGGTACGGCTTGCCGAAATCTCGCCGGCAAAGCGTGTTTATCAGCATTTAAAATTAGCAACAAATGCTTTATTTTGTACCTACAATATAATAAAATATATTTTTAATATATATGATCTATCCTAACGTACATTCAAACTTTATTTCTTTTTTTATTTTCTAATTTCAACGCTTACTAAGTATTTTAAAATGACTGGTACGGCGTGGCCGACCCTGCCGCCCCTGACCAGCCGCCCCTGTTACCAAATCAGATGACGCAATAAGTCAAATTAAGTTACGCCACTCCCTGCTCCGAATCGAATTTGTCGAACGCGCTCAAAAAGAACTTACTTATTAAGTATCAGAGGAAATTTCAAGATAAACTATCGATGACATTTCGCTTTATGCCGAAAGAGCTCTACCGAAGGAAAAAATATCTCAACTCAATAACAAGCCATTGAAGCTTGTTTGTAAACTAATAATGAATTCAATTTATTAAGCGAACGACTAATTTGATCAAAAACAATCAAATTACTCTGACATAATTAACGGGAAATTGGTTTGAGTAATGTTTAGAGACTCTGTCAAAGGTAGCGAACTATTTCCTTTTATTTTCGTCGATGTGAAACGGGAAGAATCGAATCTGTTGTTGCTAATTGGAATGGCGGCGACATTATGCGTACACTTTAATTCGATGATGGGAGGCGAAAAACAAACGGGCGATGTCGAAGCCGCCCCTGTACCTGAAACACGCGAACACCGAGCTCATACATGAGTGACGAAACACAATCGGCTGTTCACTGGACCGTCCTGGTACACGTCGAAGGCTGGCCAAGTTTGTACAAAAACTTTTTGTTCCTATTTTTAGAGAGATCAAAGTTAACATTTCCGTTTAGAACCAATCCCAGTTTCCATTCTCAATTCAAATATATTAATCTAGAACTGGACGTGCACCAATGAATACTCAATTCAATTAACGGTTTTATCTGTTTTAATTATTGCTTCCAGGCTAGACTGACTTTATTAACAAAAAATAAAATCTGGTCTCATTACTTTTTAAAAAACTCAGAAAAATGTGTATTTCAGGATAGGTATATGTACAATGTATGTATAATTCAATAACAATCCTTTTTATAAAAATACCAACCTCCAAAATAAATATAATACTGACCGAAATAATTGGATGCACCAGCCAAATTTTCCTTGATCGAAATATGAAAAAACAAGTAAATATTCCTAACAATGAAAACCGTATTATTAAGAAAAGTCAATGGTAGCATTCCAATTAAAAAAAATATACTTGAAGCCGTCATTGCCTTGTCATAGCAAAAAATAAAACCAAAGGAATTAAATAAAAAATAAAGCTTCTAAACAAACTGAGCTACAATTCAAGTAGTGCTTTACTTTATCTTGATTTTTTATGTAAAAACGGTGTTATTTACTTTAAACGTTATGCTTCTCTCTCTTCGCTCTCTCTTCTCGAAACTTTCTTTATGCCTTTATTTATGCTGTGTTCTCATGCAATTTATAAACCATTAGCAAACATTTTTTCTCAGTAAAGATTTTAAAATTGATCAAATCATTTAACACGATTTTCCATGTTAATAGATTCTAATTTCTCTACGAAGCTGCATCTCAACTTTTTTATTATCACAAATTCTTTATAAAAACTATAAAATTTAAAAAACTTAATTCGTTAAAAGTACTATAGGTTACAGATAAGTTCACATTATATGGGTTAAGAGAAACGATTTAAAACTTTGTACAAACTGATATTAAAGATAAAATTTTAGATAACATTTTTTAACTGTGATGGATCATTTGTACAACTTAGAGTTCCTTAACCTTCCAGAATTATTAGAAAACACTGACATTATTATTCCTATTTTAAATGTTATTCACCTGTTGCTAAACAAACACTTTTATCGAATAATAAAATACATGTTTGTATTGATGAGGCTGATACGTGTTTAAACTCCATATTAATTTTCTCTTCTGCCTGAAGACGGTACTGTGTACCGAAACGCGTGTAGCAGTGACTACAAATATATTATTTAAACTCTGAAAGTTTTTTCATTATTATTAAAAATAAAATACATATAAATATATATTGTGTCTATCAGAATAAATACATGTATTTGTTCCAATATTTCCCAAGGAAATAATTTTATTGCAAAAATCTTACTAGAGACTAGATGCGTAGTTATTACCAGTTCTAGGATAAATTTTCAACTTGAAATATTAGAATTATCATTTTTCACTATAATAATTTTTTAAGTCTAAAATTCGCCAAATTTTAAATCTATATATATATATATATATAAATCAATTGCTGTTCATTAGTCTCGCTAAAACTCGAGAACGGCTGAACGGATGTATCTTATCTTGGTTTTGAAATGTCCGTGGAGGTCTAGGGAAGGTTTAAAAGGTGAGAAAAATTCGAATAATTGCCGGTAAAACCCTAAAGACAGCACGTTTCTTCTTGACAACCAAGTGACAATATTTATTTCTAAAAAGACAAAAGACATCAAATGTTTCACAGCTCAGAACATATTGTATTGGAAAATAGAATTTCTGTTTTTAGTGTTTTTGTTTCTCACCGTTTAAACCTTCTCTGAATTTCCATAAATATTTCAAGACCAAACTCTCAGCTAAAAGATAAAAAAATTCTAAAAATTTTGCATGGGAATCGCCACTTCGAATTAATTTCAATAGTTGGCGTTCCTGACGAATCTGTCGTCTAACTGACGTGTCATACAAAACTAATTCTTCCGTGCGATTGTGAAAAGTATATTGCATTTCAAGTCGTTCTTTGTTTTTTCGTAAAAAAAACGTCGTTTATTGTAAGAAAAGTCTTGGTTAAAGTGAATTTAGTTACACATTGCGAAAGTGTCTTATTAATTTTGATCTGCCATTCTATTTACCTATAATCACTTTGTTGGTTTCGACAAAACCTCAAACTTTACCGTTATTCGAGGATTTAATTTGAAGTTTTCAATATTTTAAAATTCTCAAGACAGAATTTACAGATTTGATGAACTATGAAAATAATTCTGTGTCGTTTTATGAAGTTCATTACAA